CATATGACAAAGAAAGCTGAAACTGAAACTCCCTTAAAAACCACATTTTTAATGTCATGATCACTTTTTACGCGGATAAATAAAAGGACATAAAATTCACTTTGCTAGAAACTGATTGTAGCACAGGCCTGCAGACGTCCACACATTAAACTGCCCAAAGGTATAGAAAGTAATAAAGTTTATGAAAATGCATGACGTTGCTGGAAGATGCAGTTACACACTATTCTATGTGTATATATTAGTAGAACATCCTTTATTTCCTATCAAATAACCTAATAAAGTCCTGACTGCAGCTTAAAGTAACCTGTATATTATATTGTTGCATTGCTACTTATTTTTCAACAAGCTGCTGGATCAATCGGGGGAACAGTAGCAACAACATCAGCATTTATGCACATCTGCTATGCACAGCACAAGACTACTATGATATGCACGGTGACACAGACAAAGTCCTACAACGACGTTAACAACCAGGAAGCTCTTATTTGAATTCTTACTCTGGGGCTTTGCTGATCTCCACCTCGCTCTCCTCTTCTAGCGGCACCGGCAGCCTGGTCAGAGTGGACATGGAGCCTCACGTCAAATCACAAACAGGCTCTCGCTGCCAAAGCTAACCTGAGCATATGTTCAAACTTTTGCTCTGGGTACACCGTCTTACTCGGCTTCAGGCTCCTCCAGGAGCTCTTGACTCCCCAGCGAGAGCTTGATGGACTGTCCCTCACTGGCCATCTGTCTAACGGCCATCTCAGCTGTCTGCCTGGCAACCTCTTCAGCCATCCGGGCCATCTCCACCCTCTCCTGAAGCAGACTGAAGGAAAACAGGACAAAATGCTTGTGCTGTGAGCTAAATATCATTTGATGATAAAGAAAATCTCGTGCCTTACATTAAATCAGGTTCATTTCTCGTTGTTGGCTGTTTTCATTGTCTTAAGGTGTTAAATATGACAGCAGAGAATATCTTTAAAAAAGCATCCAGGTGCTACAATGATGGATGTAAACATTCAGTATCTGATAAGGGACGCAGCTGTTTCTCTTCATTTGTCCGCCATCCTTACCGCTCCTCCATGGTAGCCAACGCCACCCCTTCGGCCTCCTTCTTGATGTTTTCAATAAACGGCGTCCAGCGGCCTGTCTGGGTCTCTGCATCTTCCAGAGATATCTTTGTGGCACTCTCTGACGGTTGTGGCTCCGGAGGGGCGGCGCTGCATTTCTGTGACTCCACTGAAAGCGACTGTGAGGGTTGTGTCACTTCCTGTTGCTGCTGGGGTGCAGGTGATGGTGGAACCAGGGATGCGGACGGAGCTTGAGCTTTGGGAGCATCTGCACATTTGTGCTGGCCCTCGTTGTCCGACTCCACGTCTTCCAGCACCATGTCTGGTTTGAGTTTGGCTGATGCTGTGAGAGGGCGATAAGCATGAGAACTGTTTGGTTGGTCAAACTGGGGGATTTAACCTTAACTAGTATAATCCTGTTATATTTCTATCGTCAGCTGCGATTTCATTGGTGGTAGGAAATGTTGTTGTTGTTAGGATTCGAAGACCTCTCAGTTATCGGTGTTATTGATGAAAGCACCACAAAATCAGTTCACACACTGATCCTTTATTATTCTCACTTCAAGCTTCCATTACAGTGTTTACTACATTCATTTGCATGACAAGCGTGCTTCTCTTAAATCACAACACACCCCCAGGCCACATTTCACAGTTCAAGGCTACACAGCAGATACATACGCAGATCAAACCAGCCTCACGCTGCAGCTCGTCTTACACTGAGTCGTGCAGGCTCTGCTTGATGTTAAGTTTTAGATATACAGCAACATGCCCAAGAACCAAACTGAGCTCAACTTTCTTTAAGCAAAAAAACACAAAACATTCTGAAGAAACAGGACTAAAATTAAATATGCAGGTCCTTTAGAGACACAATAATAACTGAACATAGCTGCCATTTAATCATCATATCAAGGATAAAAAGGTGTGTAACTCTATGGTAGGTACGTCAGGATTGTTACAGTGTCTCTTGCTGCTGTTTTTTTATAGTGAAATGGCAACACGAACATACGACGCACCCTGACGCAGGGAACGTTACAGTAATGTCACAGCCCGTTTTTGGAGCCGCAAATGTAATCTCCAAACCATGACTGGACATCACTGTTACAGTCATTTAAGAGAAAAAAGCATTGAAATGATTTTGGGTGCACAGCCTACAGTAATTTCAAGCAAACGGCGACTTCTAAAAGCTCCGGTATGAAACAGGAAATGTGAGTATTACAGGATAAAACACATTTTCTGTGTTATATTTAGTTTACATTCATATTAAACTGCACAGAGTACAGTAAGGTGAGTTTAAGATATTACTATGTTCATGTGTGTTCATTCACAGCTGCCTATAGTCCCTATTGTCTGCTGACAGTTCAATGAGCCTATTGGTCTATCTGTGCGGGTCAGAGCATCCCCCAGTCGTCTCCTCCTGCTGTTTAAGGGGCTCGCAGCACCTTCCCCCCTGAAACAGAAGGAGAAGAGGGACTGAGTTAGGCTCCGACCGTCCGACCAAAACACCTCTTCATTAACTATAAGGAAAAAACAAGAAGCTGCTTCAACAGAAAGCATGCATGCAAGAGTCTGCAAATGTCACACTGATGCAGAGGAGCTGTTCAAAATGAAAATAGAGTTTTTACTGGTGATGAGACGGGTTCACTCTGTTCTGTTCTTTTCTACAAACTCTACGCTCTTCTCTAGAATTAGAAGACACAGAATAGTAATTCAGCTGATTGAACTGTGAACTGTGGCGCTCAGGATCCAAAAGTACTGACAGGAAAAACTCACCTTTCTGAATGAGTTCAGGTACCGTCTGAAACAGGGGACACATAAATCAGTAGATGGCAGAAGAAAAATCAGGTGTCAGGGTTTTGTTGTTTGTTCCCCATAACTTACATTAGCTTCATCCTTGGATGGAGAAACAGGCTGCGGCATCTTCAGACCCAGCCCTGACACAAACCAGTTCACCACACTGTGGAGCAGAAACCCAAGTGTCAGGAGTGTGCCGCACACTGTGCAAACACATCTACCACGAGCAACCCCCAAAATGCTGCTTTGCTAAAAAGGAGGCACTCTCAAGTCCCGCTTCATCCACGTGGATGTTATTCCAGACTTACCCAGAGGCCTTGCTTTCAGTATCCAGTGAGATTCCACTGAGCGATTCAGGCGGCGGAGACAGAACTGTGGAGCAGACAACATGAAGCACTTTACAAAAAATATATCCTCAAACAAAGTCACAGTTTCTGGCTGTTAAACTGGGATTTTCAGGCTTTATTTACTTTTATCCAGAGAGGTGCAGGAGGACTTGGTTGACGGTTCCACGGGCACAGCACCAGGGGGCAGTATGACCGGCTGAGGAACTATCTGCTTTATCCAGGTCACCACACTGAAACAGAGCGTGCAAGGGGGCCTCCTGAACGTCTGCAGAATATTTAACTCGGTGATTTGTGTCATTAGTGTGTATTTAATATTAGGACGCCTGTAAGTGTTTGGGGAGCAATTCAGACAACGCAGTGCAGATTATTCCTCGCTACGGCTGCCATGTGTGCACGTGGAGCAGGAGGTGGTTTACACTCACTTGGGAGGAAAGTGAGGGGCCAAACTCTCTGTGTCCTCGTCGTCTGACACCATCTCCACCACAGGGATGTGGGGAAGTGGATCGAAATCTGAGTTTAAACCCCCCCACACACATTTCATTCATGTATTTTGTTATTAACTCACTGCATAATCATCAAGGGTGATTTTAGAAACATGCATGCAGTGTGTTTGCATGATTGTGGAACGTACCTGGCATCGTGGCTACGTTGTACACCTGGAACAGCAGACAGAAAGAGATTAAAAGAAGCCGTAACACAGAGACAATGGCAGGTGCAGGATGTCGGTGTTGTTTTGTTTATCAGTGTTGGTGCCCTGGTTTAGATAGCAGTGAAGGTGTTTAACAGGATACCCCCCCAACTTCCTTTATACCCTTGATCCTTATACGCGATTAGTCTTTTAAGCCTGTGGGACAGCATCACGCTGCTTCCAAGTGTGGCTGATTTAACTGTTCATTGAACTCCATTAAACGCTCAGTAAGTTTAGTGTTGGTGTTGTAGTTTCCTAAAGACAAACATGCTGCACAGAGACGATGTGCTCATAGGACAAACTGACACTTTTTAAATGTCAAATATTCTCTGGCTTTGTTTTCTAACCTCCGTGTGCTCCTCGTCCTTCGAGTCCTTCTCAGTCTCTCTGTACTTGTCGTCAGGCTGAGGCAGCACTTTGGTCAGACCCTGAGTGACCCAGGTGATCACTCCAGACCTGACAGGGAAGCACAATTTCATTTGATTTCATGTGAGTTCATTATAAACTCAGCACATGTTCAGTCATACTGTACCTGTCTCCATCTTCTCCGGACTGAATATATAGAAACACAGAGAGAAGAATAGAAAATAATATGAACCTTAAATAAAACGGCTCAGAAAAAGTGCATCTTTACAGCAACAAAACAAATGCAATGATTGTGACACACTCGTGTGTGTTGGTTCATCAGTCACATGGTTGGCGAGGTGATCATGAGGAGGTCCTTCTGCTTTCTTATAGTAATTTGAACTAATAACTGTACAAGCTGCACAAACTCAGCTGATAAAATAGCTTCACGTGAGGATTTCTTCATGAGAAGGAGCCACAGTGGTGAGTTTATGCATGCTAGTGTCGCTGGAATAAAGCTGTTCATTAGCCTCATTTACAGCAGCTCCTTAGGACACGAGCCCCCGGCAAACTGTGTGAACATTTGGTGTTGGAAAAAAGGTGCTCTGTTAGAAACCCCTTGAATGATGATGACCTTATAAAATATTATTAAACTGTGCTCAGGACATTTCCACATCGTAAGGGAGACGAGCAGCTTAGATTCTGTGTTTTATAGATCATCTCCTACGACTACGACTTCACAGAAACTCACTCCAGTCATCTGCAGACTTACCTTGGCTTCAGAGTTGGCTCTGCTGAGTCGGGGGCTGGCCGCAGGCTGTGGGAGCGCGCTGACGAACCCATTAGAAAACCAGCCCAATACTCCAGTCTGCGCTTGGCTGTAAAGGATGCGCACGCAGACAGGTAGAAGTCAGCAACTGTGCACGCCGCGAGACACAAAGATGCTGATGGACAAAAACATTTACCCTTCCTCTGAAACCTCGTCTGCATCTTTCACTGCAGCTGCAGGAGAAGTTAAAGACATTTGCTGTAGATCCATGTGCACGTATAAAGATAAAGGTGGAAATAGAATAAAAGGTTACAGATAATCCTCACCCGCTTTATTTTTGGTTGGCTGCAAGGAAAGAAAACATAGACTGTTAATTACTGTTGTGTGAGTGTGTGTGTGTGTGGTGTGTGTGTGTGTGTGTGTGTGTGTGTGTAGTGTGTGGTGTGTGTGTGTGGTGTGGTGTTGTGTGTTTTGTGCTGGTGTGTGTGTGTTGTCGGTACAGCATCAGGGGTCTTGGCAGACATCAGATCTTGGTCCCAGCATCAGGAGGCTGGGGAACCACTTTCACCACCCAGTTAAACATCCTGTTGAAGTAAAACACAGAAACACACAGTCAGCCTCTTAAAGAGCCGCTCATCAAACACGGCTGATGGTCCTGATGATAATGATAATAAATCAGTAACTCTTTACTGGTGGCTTCATTAAAGCAGCTTCTTCAGCTGCTTCATTGTTGCTCACACTGTCAGCTCACAGGAGAGATACCCAGAAATCAGGATCATGCATGCCATGCAAAGCCCACCCAGAAGTCAAGAGTTAGAGGACGTTAGGAGGCAGGACCAGCAGCAGCAAACCGTAAGCTGCTTTAGCGAGAGGCTCCGCGGGGGGTCGATCGCTCAGAAAGGAAGAAATGTGGGAACATTTGAAGCGGCCTGTGCGCACGACTGAAGATGGAGTGTTTCAGAGCCTCCAGGAGAGCCACTGTGCTGACTGATCTCACTCATATATGCAGGAGTTATCCATATTGTCCTCGGTGACAGTTCATCAGCCCACTGAGATAATCCTCATCAGCAGGGGGAGACGTCAGTAAAACCGGAGGATGCCCTGCACCGTGATCTCACCATCCAGGACACGAGACAAACGCTGGGATTATTTCTAAATGTCAATCACAAGATTGTTCTTTTAAAACATGCGTTTTAATTTTCCTTTGTCAGCATCACTCGTGCCTGGCTGAGGGGGCAGCTATCAGTGATGGTGAGCTAACGAGGGCCGGTCTTAAAGATTCATTCATTCAGCTGCATCTACAGGTTGGCTCTAGACACATAATGCAGCACAACAAAGGTCTGGTAAAGGCTTCACAGCGCTCGGAGCTGTCGCGTGTTTTCAGCAGTGGGAATCGTTTCAAGGAAGAATCCTCTCGTGGATGATCCACGGAGAAGACTTCTTTGAAAAACTGTGAGCTGCTGTCGTTCCCATCAGCAGAGATCAGAGGCGCCTCTTCTCAAATTTGTGGCATTAAATAGTGCAACTCTGGCCCCAAGTAATCTACTAACTGTCATCCTCAGTGCCTAGGATCAACTCATATCCTTATCATAAACGGTCCCTTCACTTATAAAAAAAAGGAAAGAAAAAAGAAAGAAAATAGTTCAAGATTATAATTTAACTTTGACTGTATTTAGATTTTTATTTTTTAAAGTTCAGATTAAAGTCCCGGCTTCAAAAAATCTTTAAGGAGGGTCACACGCTCCCTCAGCACAGGAAATGAAACCACATTAACTTCACCGGTTGTCTGCTCCATCAGGTTTTAAAGCACCACCTACGTAACCCACAAAGTTCCACATTTCACTGCGTACGTGATAACAGAGCTGCGTTCCTTACCTGCTGCCTACAGGTGGTTCTGCATGCCGGTGGTACACGGAGCTAGAGTGTGGCACAGCCGGCGCAGGTCTGCTGAGATCTTCACAGCGGATGCCCGCGGGGCTAACGGGATTAACCCGCAGCACCTGAAGGTCAAGGCCCAATCCCAGACCGTGAGCAATCGCAGATTAACGGCGAGGAAACTTCTCCGTAACCTATAAACTGCTGTCACGGGAAAACACGGAGCAACCAGCAGGTGGTGGATTGTTTGTAACAGAAAGGGGAAAGGTCCCTTTTCTATCAGATCACAGTCGTTTAAACATGTGAGCACATGCAGCAGAGACTTCACCTAAATCATAAACGAGTGATGAATTCAATTTGATTATTAAAGTAACTAAATTTCTTTCATCTTTGCTTTTCACAGGAATGTTGATCATTTTGGATTCGTTCTCACTATTCTGCTGATTAAATAAGCTCCCACACTCAGCTGCTCAGCATGTGTGAGTCCTTCATCGTATCAGTGCGTAGGGATAAAGCGTCAGTGTGAGACGCGTCAGGCTTAGAAGTGTATTACTGATGCAGTCATAGATTGGAACGACAGGAGGAAGAGGAGTGAGAGGAGGAGTGGTCAGCTTTAGTCTGCACTGCCCTGCTGGGTGTTTCCTGCGAGTTTATAAAACTTCTTATATTAAGTTGCTCTACATTTGTTACGTCATGTATTTTACTTGGTTGTGTTTCCTCCATGACAGAAACCTATGACACCACGAATGAAGGGAGTCGCTTGACCATCGTTGCCGTGTTGGAGCACTTTCACCTTTTCCCATCCACGTCCGAGCTTTTTCAGCCAAGCTCGTTCAGCTCGTTCAGCAGTCTAACAGTTTAGACTTTGCTAACTCAGCTGAATCAGTATCGAACTCTGACATTTACTCTGGATCATCTCTCTGTAAATACTGAGTGACAGCGTTTTGGTGACATCACTCCTACATCGTATGATGTCGTCCGGCTGTGAGCTGCCTCGGTAAAGCAGTGACATCATTTACAAAAGCAAAGCAGGACATTTATAGAAAGTTAAAATAATTACAAAGGTAAAAATATGAAAAGAGCATACTTTGTCTTTAGGCCTCTGTCTGCACTTCCTTCCTCCAGACTTCTGTTTACTGAACATTTTCAGACTCAATCAAAAGTTCCACGCAGATGTAATATTTATAGTAACTGTGAAAAGAGTCGCAGTTATCTTTCATAATCTTATTTGTGCCATTATATTCATCACATTTAAATATGTTTGTAAAATCCCAGCTGTAGATCAGACTGGTAGGCGTGGATCCACTTCTATCACAACCCTGTCTATCAGCGGTCCAAGGCGGTGGGGACGCTCTTGGCCCTTATTGTTTGGACACCACAGCCTAGCGGACGTCCATCCGTCTATGATCAGTGTGGGCATCTTCTGATAGCAGGACAAACACAAGATGTCACAAAACCAAATCATTTAAAACTGATTTCTTGACTGTAACAGTGAATTCGCTGCACTCGATGGCCTGCACGGCCTCCAGATGTCAATCTGGTGAAACGGGAAATTCCCATCACGGCTGTGGAGCTGAGAACCTGTGTGATGCTGTCAGTACAGTATGAACCAAACATGTCTGAAAACACCTTGTTGAATAATTAAGAGTCCAACCTGATGCCTGAATGTGTGTTTGAATTAGCAGTGAAGACTTTGAAGTAAAAATCACTCCTTATCTTAAAATAAGGTCAAGATGAGGAAAAGTATGAATCCTTTTTTCCCTATTTCACTATTTTATATCTTTTATCAGCTGGAGCCCAAACTGTACACCGGCCCTGCATGTGGGACTCACAGCCCGATCTAAGCAGGCACATCTATGAAGACGACGCCCACCAGTGAGGCATCATCGGTCTGATCCAACACACTGACACGAAGGTAAGGCGTCCAAAAACAGTTCAGATGCTCCTGGTCATCACTAGTGTACAGTGTAGAGGACGTTGGTGCACTGACACTTGAAATGGGGATATTTCAGCCTTTTTTGCATTATGGTGTCATTTTACTCGCCAACCTGAGGAAGAGTGGTTGCAACTATAACAGAGGGATTTAAGAATGAAAGCAGAAAGAAAGGAAGGTGGACAAAACTAATGGGAGGATTGGGAAATAGGTATGAGGAGGAAAGCACGGCCCGATGCCAGAGGGTGATTAACGAGGATTCAGGACACCCGTTGTTAAAAAGAAAACTGGTAAACAAGACGTGGCGTGTTGATGGCGTGCGAGCTCTGAGGTGGAGCTGAAAAAGAACAACTGCAGTAAGAGGCAATTTTATGGCTATCAGATTAATTTGGTTCAAAGAGCAGATCGTCGGTCTGATCATCCAGGTAAACACAGACTGTCCCTGGCAGGTGGACAAACATTCACCAGTTCAGATAAATGTCCATTTAAAAAAAAAGCCTCGTGCTGCGTTTGAGAGTGAAAACCATTTATGGTGCTGATGAAGCAGGAGGCAGCAGGTAGATCTCATTATCAGCTCAGCAGGAGATAAGCTGAGAAAACAGGCTGATGACACAGAGCTGGACACAGTACTTCAACACTGTCCTCAATTCTAATTGAACAGCTGGATTAGACCCGGCGAGGCGGCTGGTTTGGGAAAAGATGAGGTAGGAGAGAGCGCACGGATACACAGCTGTGTCCAGCTGTGTCCAGCTGTGTCCAGCTGGGACACCACCCGATTTGTCATATTTGAGTTAATCTGAGAGTCAAAGGAAAAGAGAGCAGCTGAGGAGTGGATGATCTGTGACGAAACTAATCCTCATTACCTCTGACATCAAGGTGCTCTCATGTACAAGACAAAGGAAGTCACGCAGGAGCCGCGCGCGCACACACACACGCACGCGCAGAGCTCCATACTTTGGTCCTTTACTCAAACCAACAGAAAACCACCGAAAAGGATCAAAGTCAAATTTCATATGCTTAAAAAAATACACAACAGCAAATTTACTTACTGCGAATATTAGACGAGTGAAACTGTTAGAGCTCGTTGTCATTTCCATCATTTTATCGTTTAGACCACAAATAAAGTTGTGATTTACAAAGCCACTGCTGACTTTAGATGTAAATAAACGCAAAGATATTTCCTTTGAAAGATTCTTATTATTCAACATCGACATACATTCATAATATTAAAGATTTAAGTAGGAAAAAATGCAGTTTCGTGAGATCAAGTTTTCACCATTTCCTGGAGCAACGACTCCCTCTTGTGGCCAAAAGTATGAATAAAACGGCTGAACTTGAAGTTTCAGACACAACATGGAAACACACACAGCAGCAAAGACGACTCGTGTTGCTTTTTATTTGAGTTTTATTGTGAAACCTTTGATGTACTCTACACTGGAGTGCACAGGCCTTATCAAACATGCCCTGCATGCATCATCATCATCATCATCAAAAAAAAAAAAATCTACTGCTGCTCTAACAAAACATCTGAATGCACACAAAATGTGCAAAACTACAAATGATAATGTAAAAAAGTAAGAAAGCATTTCCCTGTACTATTTATATAGTTCTTTAAAAAACGCCGCCGCAGTATCCACAGGAGGGAAAACAAGTCACAACGAAACTCGATGCAAAGGTTAACAAGTTTAAAATGCTGATCGATGAGCCGGGAAAGACAATAAGACGAGATCCCGTCCTGCAGATGCTTCTGTGGATTCATTATCTTGTATATGCTTGAGCTGACTTTCCAGAAGAGTGGAGGAGAAAATGAACACACCGGGGAAAATACATGAGTGAAAGAAACAACAGCGAGCAGAGAAAAAGCAGACAGTCATCTGTAGCCATGAAAACAGAGCGCAGCAGAAACAAGAGCTGAAAAGGAGAAGCGGACTCGAGTGGCCCAATGTAGGTCAGGAGGCACAACGCCAGCATTGCTCCTCCTCCAAATCCTTCTAACCTCCCTTTCTCCTTCCTTCCTTCCCTCGCTCGTCCTTTCATGCAGAAACCTGAGGAAACACTGACAGAGCCCTCCCTCTCCTTCGTTTTCCTCCTCTCCTCATCTCCTTCCCTCTCATTTCCCTTCTACTCTTTACTCACCGCCATCATTTTTATAACTCCCCCTTCTGCATTTTTCCCGACTCCCCCGCCTCCCCTCATGCCTGACGGCCCTAAATCTGCAACATGTGGCCTTAATGGAAACCAGACCCTCACCCATTCTTCAGGCCTCTCCCTCGTAGACATAATTAGCTTTAACTCTGTTTAGCATTAAAAAAAAGCAATAGAGACATAAAAAGAGGACACAGTTGCTTTTCCACTCTCCACAGGCTGACACTGCAGATTTTATAAAAGACCTCGATAATTCTCGATAGCGCTCATAAAAAGGCGAATAAATCCTAACGCCGGCACCGGCCATATATCAGCACGTCTCCGCTGGGATCGTGTTTGTAGCGCTGCAGTCTGCAAGAGGCTGCGGCAGGAGGAGGGGAGGCTGGAGCCCAAGTGTCTGTGCAGGAAAAGAAAAGCTACGTGCTGCGGGTGGATGAGCGAACATGCATGCACAAATCAGTGCAGATACAAGCTGTTTTTGAGCTAATGTGTGTCATGTGTGCAGGAAAGGTCAGACATAATGGGCTCAGTGGGAAGCGGGCAAGTCATGGACACACAGCTGTCGAACATTCCTGCGCTGTTGGAGGACGAGCTCAACCTGCAGAGACGGCAAAGTGCAAACGATCTGTTCTAAACAGAAGAAACACTGTTGAAGCATCTTCATTAAAAAGCTTCTTATTAATGCAAGCAAACGTGTTTATGCTTCTAATATATGTGCTCGAAAGACTTGGTCTGCATTTACACTACAAATAATCCCCAAACGTCCTCAGTCCAGTTGGAATTGATGCAATCACACATTCCTGGTGAAAACTTATTTTAAAGAAAGGGGTTTTTTGGGGGGGGACCTTTTCAGACTTTTGGAAGGCACAGAGAGAGGCACAGTAGAAAAACCTGTGGCCGAGCTAAAGCTCCACAGGCGCTGAATTCACAATTTTTTTATCACGTCACACGAGCAGTGAAAGTTCTCCCAATGACTAACGGGCCCATCGTCAGCTTTTTCAAAGCTTCTTTTCCTCTAACGCCAAAAGTAAAAACTGGACGGCTGCACCAGATGAACGACGGACACCTGAACTCTCTCTTCGACTCGAGCGTCACACCCAGTCCTGCAGCGAGCGCTTGCAGTGCACCAAGGCCCTCGGTGTCTCTTTGTTCTGAAGAGTCCTGAGGATGGCATAGATTAGGACGAGGATGCACAGGATGAGCACCAGGGGAACGACCACCATAATCAGGGTCATGACCTTTGATTCATTGTCAGCCACAGCCACGACCACGTTCACATCTTTGTCCTCCTCTTCCTCTGTGCTGTCAGGCTTAGCGGTCTCCTCTCGCTCCGAGTTTGCGTCTCTGTCTGGCTCTTTGTGCTCGTCTTTGCCTCGGTCTGAAGGCTCGACCGGTTTGTCTTCCGGCTCGGCGTCTGCGTCGGGCTTCGGGTCGGGGACCCCCACGCAACCCATGAAGTCCTTCAGGATGGAGCGGGGATAGCCTTTGTCTGCTTCGGATCTGCGATTGTCAAATCTCCAGTAGTTGGTGCCTTTGTAGAAATAGGTGTAAGCTGCACGAGGAGAAGAAAGGAGACATTTTTGGGTCATCTTCACGTGATGCTGATTATACAGCATGCACAGTGCTGATGTTTGGGAGCAAGCCCCCCTCATGTGAATAGAGCCTTTCTGGCTGTAGACCATTATAGAGTCAGATCAATATCTGTACAGCTACAGCTAGCTCTCACAAACAAGGAAGAGGCTCCGTCCAAAGATACCAAAATAAATTCACTCATCGCATCTTATTAGTCAAATCATCAAAAACACGAACTTATGGTTTTCCAGGGCTACGTGCCGACCTCGCCGTGTTCAGCAGCGAACCTGCAGAGGCGAGCCGTGCAGATTAATCCTGTAACTGTATTTTGTAACTTGGTGCTATGAAAGAGTATTTCCCCCTCATGATTTTGCATTATTGTCACAATGTTTCAGATCATCAAACAAATTCTAATAACAGAAACTTTTTCAGAAGGTGGACTAATGAATAAAATCCTTTAAAAACAGTCTTTTCTAGTTACTCGGGTTACTTTTCTCTAATATTGTAAACGTGTTTGATGATCAGAAACGTACGAGTGCAACAAACATGCAAAAGAAAGAATCGCTGCACATTCAAAAAGTCGTGTGCAAAGACTCAGGAAAGATTTCTTTGCACACAGTGCGCCGCTTTGGTGACGGCCGGGCCTGACTGTATTAGTCAAGTCTGCCAAATTATTGGATAAAATAAAGCCAAAATGCAATGAATCCTTTGAAATCTGTCGCCTTCGTGCACTTATTCATGCAGCATGTTGTCAATAAGCACAGATTCCTCTCTGTGCTGCACAGGCTGCCTGCACAGCGTCTGGGTGGAGATGTGATCCGACTCTTACCGAGTGCATTCAGAGCTGCTCGGACACAAATCTCATTTCCAAAAGGAAGGACGGGCCAACCCACAGACCAGCGCTCTCCTTCCTCTCTCTGCTTTGTTGCTTCACTGCTTCCTCCAACCTTTCCTTCTTTCGCTCCCTCCCCCCTGCTGCTCTGTCAGGCTGTTCTCTTGCTTCCAACAGTGAAGGCGAAGCTTTTGATGTTTGTTGTGATTCTCATAAACCGAAGCTGTTGGATGTTCCCACTGCTAAAATAAAACCCGGGCAAATTGCTCAATTTAAACTCCTGACTTACCCCCATCATCGCTGAGGAAGGCTCCTTTGGGGGAGGGAGGGATCCTGCCCCATCTGCTAATTGGTTTGGGGAAGTCGCGGTCTGTGGTCCGTGTCTCCTCGTTGTATCGCCAGTACCTGCGAGACAATAAGACGTATTAAGATGTCTACGCGGCGTTAAAACCTCCGCGCTCCGTGTATCCGAATCATACCTGTCTCCAGAGAAGAAGTACGTGTGCCCGTTGGGCTCCCACCAGATCGCTGTGTCGATCCCGTGTGGAGGAACGCCTTTTCCATAGTGATATAAGGGCTGTGGGTACCCTGGCATCACGTCAGCCTCCCTGAACACCCAGAATCTGTCACCTGTAGGCACAGATGGAGACGACGCTTTGTCCAAAGAAACAAAAGCACACCGAGTCGAGCTTTCCCGCACAGCTCGTGTTTCTGACACGGCCAACAGAGGGAAAAACATAAGGCAACGGTAAATCTGAGGAGAAGAGAGGAAGATGAAAAGAAGCTCATGGTCAGCACACATGGTGCACATCAGCAGGTTTACTCACTCCAGAAGAAAAGCAGAAAAGACAGGCGAGGTTGAAATGGCATGCATACACACATTTTCCAACACTTCCATATGTGAGGGTTGACTCCTCTCCTAAGCCTAATCTTTGGACACACTTTCAGCCACTTTCCGCTTCTACTGCCAGGCTGCTGCGCTGCGCTCCAGGCCAATAAAATGTACTGAAGTGTCCGAGCCTGATCAGAAATCCTGAAAACGCACAGCAAAGCACCACAGCTGCTCACATCTGGAGCAGCGCAGTCAGAGGCTGATGTAAGCCCCTCCACCTCTTTCATGAGGCCGTCCGGGGCTCAGCTGGAGCCAATAACAGCTGCCACGCTGCACAGGCCTGTTCAAAACACCCAACGAACTCACAAACACACATTCATAAATGCAAACTCGGTGCCCTCGTTCAGTTTGCAGCAATCGTGCCGTAATGTTTTATTCTTTTGAGGGGAGTTTTTTCTTTTTCTGTGGTGTTTTAAACATTTTTTACTCAAATCCGTGTGATTCAGAACCTTGTAAATCAAGTTGTGCAGGAGACGAATGCAGAGTTTGCATCGAACAGTTCATGTTACGCTGCTCCTCAGAGAGGACGCGAGATGAGGAACTAAAGCATCGAGCAGGGAGCTAAACTAGAATAACGTCGAGGCGTAACGCACTCGCTGCTCAGCATGTGGGCGACACTTTGTGGAAGTGGCTGGTTTTATTTGGAATAAGCAGCTGTGACGTACCTTTAAAAAAGACAAACTTGCCGTCGTGACGTTCGTACGCTGCGTCAATGTCGGTGGGGAGACCGTTCCAGAATACAGATATCGGCATGGGGTAATTATCGAGGACGCGGTTCCTCCGAACCCGCCAGAACCAACGACCCTGCAAAAGCAAAACAACGATGCACGTCTTAGTTACTTTCCCTCGCATGACTCGAACGTTGCAGCTGTGAGCAAAGCCCTGTTTGTTTACCTTGAAGACAAACATCTCCCCCCTCAGCATGGTCACTGTATCAAAGTCTCCATCGCAGATGTCAGGGGGCTGGTTGTCTGGCAGCTTGGGAGGCCGAGGAGGAGGAGGGATGTCTTTCCGTGGAGTGACGGGTTCTGGCACAGGCGGGGATTGGGTGGTGGTGGAGGTAGGGAGGATGGGAGGCGAGGTGGGACCGGGGCTCGGTTCGGGTTGGGCAGGAGGATCCGGGTCGGCGTCCGTCGGGACGCGTGGGGCATCAGCTGGAGAATAAGTGGTGGGCTCTTCTTCTGGGACAGAAGGGGAGGTGGGGGAGTCGACGCTGGGTTCATCGTCAGGGGCGAGCGGAGAAGTAGGCGAAGCATCTGTGATGAGGGGAGGACCTTGGGGGGGAAAAGGAGGCAACAGGAAAGGCTCCAGTCTTAATGTCTAATGCCACACAGACATACTTTCTTTTATTCGCTTCCTTTCGACTAAATACTCTGCAGCAGAGCGAACGCAGTTTTCCATTTTGTGACCGACTGTCACTCTGCTGCTGCTCGTTGGAAAAATCTGCTGGTTGCTAAGAGAGGAAAACACACAGATAAAGTCAGTTATGCAATAGGTATCAGCTGATGGGCTCCAAATGCGTGGGTTACACTGGACCAAAGGCTTTGCTCGGAACATATCGAGGCCAGTATGTGAAGAAATCCACCGTCTGCAGCAAAACAACAAAAGCTCAGTGCTGCCAAATGAGAACCGAGGCCATCGCAGCACAAAGATACTGTCACCAGTTTTCTTCTTTTAAATTCAGCTGTGTTTCAGTGGAATAAAAACTTCACATTTACAAAGACGCTAGTCGGCCGCTATCCTCACAGGAAAACAGCGGGCGTGTCTGCGTCTCTGCACAAAGAAAGGAAAAAGCTCCAGGACGAGGCTGACTGCCCGCCGATGTTACAACATTTTTGGCTCCAAAGCAAAATACATCCCAAACCCAAAGATGTCAGCAGCATTCACTCGTAGCCAATCAGGAGGAAGCTGTGAGCAAACGCCATAATGAGCAGCATTTGGATTTATTCGGGTCGTGTGTCTGACCACACGGTAAACGGTCGCTCTTGCTTTAAGCTCAGTTTTGTAACAACCATCTCCAGCTCAGAGCGCTAAAAGCTCCGAGCTGTTACTCCGAGGCGGATTTATATAAAACAGCTGATGTGAGAGAATCAAACGTCCCGGGATGTAAAATCAAAACAAGCGTGAAACCTGCGGAAAATCCTCGTTTTTATCTAAAGCGAAAGAAATGCAAAGTTCATAAATCATCAAGTGTGAACAACTCACGTCTGTGGTTTTAATGCAGCGCGATACACCGACAAACGGCGTCTGTTAATCAACAACGCCATCTATTCAGGAGGAAGAAGATGGGCTCATCATAATGGAATGCATGACATTCTGCATCTGCTGCTTCCTGCATCCTCTGTAAGGATCCAGATGTGACGTGAGTGCGATGACTGACGTTTGGCTCGCTAACAGCGCAGCGATCAAAGCTCAGCATGGAAACAGAAGATGATGACACCCCTCTGAGGATGGTGAGCCCGACAACACGGACAATCAAGAATAGATGGAAAGGCTCTCGCTGCAGGGGTAGGGCAGATTTGAAATGTTAATCATGAAAGACAAAATAAAGTTTGGGGCATTTGCTTTTAGATTCAATAGTGTTTTTCAATAAATACTGCTAATATGCATTTAAGTAGCCCCAAACACTGCACTGGACCGCTGTGCAAGGCTTCACCATGAGGATAATCAGCATCATTTCTAGTAATATCCATAATTTCCAGAGCACTGTGGGGTTTCACATCTCTTCTGCATACAGAGATTTAGAAGCTCTGCAGCCCAAAGAAAAGAACATCTCATGCTGGTAGAAATAACTCTTTGTATCACCAAAGACATCCATAGAGCGCGTTCTTCTCACCATATATGTGCTGTATGCCTCTGATGTCATCCTCATGGAGCGTGAAGTTCTGTGTGTGGACCCACTGGTAGACAGGAGCCATTGTGGCTCTGGGGTTATCCGAATGCTGCAGACCCAGAGCGTGACCGAGCTCATGAACCGCAACCAGGAACAGATCTATACCTGCGAGAGAGACAGGCGTAGCTGTGGGTCATCTGCTTTGAGTGTGCACAACAAGGGAAATGCACATTGCTTTGTGGTTGGTGCGCACACAAACGAACACAAAAGGCACTGAGAGCTCTCGGCCCAAACATTTATCACTGCGGAGTCAAAGCGAGTCAGGTCACCGAGTACGACCGCATCCTTCCAGGTTGCCTCCCAGCTGATATCGACCAAAACGGCGACTGTTCAGAGATTAAGTTGAATTTCTCACATAAGCAGAAAAAAACAAACCCACTGACCTTTCGGGTTTTCGTTGTCCAGTGTCCAAGGCTCATCTGAATCAAAGTGCGTGTCCCCACCTATTCCCGGTCCGGGATAGTAGGCGTGGGCCAGAGACCCACCCTCGCCATCGAACAGTGACATATCACCATGGAAACCGGAGGCAAACAGCAGCAGGATATCGGCGAGCTTCGTCTGGCTGCTGTTGACGCCGTGTCCAGGTGGCAGCTCCTCAAAGGTGAGCGGCGTGACTCGTCTCCAAACACCGAAGGCTTTGCGGATCGCATCGTACGTCCGTTCCTCTCCCAGGGACGGGGGCATGTTTTGGTCCATTACACTGAAGTCAGAAGTAAAATCGTATCAGAGCTGCGGAGCACTTTGATTTATTGCAGTCTGATTGTTTAATTTGGTCTGGAAACCTGTAGGTGATGTGATCTTTGTCCCAGCGCTGCCCAGTCAGAACGTAGCGCTTCTTCCTGTCAAGCAGATCCTCGGGCTTTCTGTCAGGGAGGCCACAACGAGGCCGCCGCATGGCCCTGCACACACACACACACACACACACACACACACACACACAATAAAGGATTTCTCAGTTCCACATAAAGCTGGATGAGATTAGCTTTCTCATTCTCACCAGACAAACCTAGAAACGTGCACAGTCAGGCCCATAAATATTGGGACATCGACACAAGTCTAACATTTTGGGCTGTATGCACCAGCACAATGGGTTTCAAATGAAACGAACAAGATGTGCTTTAACTGCAGACTGTCAGCTTTTATTTGAGGGTGTTTACATCCAGGGCAGGTGAACGGTGTAGGAATTACAACAGTTTGCATATGTGCCTCCCACTTGTTAAGGGACCAAAAGTAATGGGACAATTGGCTTCTCAGCTGTTCCATGGCCAGGTGTGTGTTATTCCCTCATTACAATGAGCAGATAAAAGGTCCAGAGTTCATTTCAAGTGTGCTGTTTGCATCTGGAGCCTGTTGCTGTCAACTGCCAAGATGAGAGCCAAAGAGCTGTCACTATCAGTGACGCAAGCCATCATTAGGCTGAGAAAACAAAGCAAACCCATCAGAGAGACAGCAAAACCATCAGGCGTGGCCAAAACAACTGTTTGGAACATTCTCAAAAAGAAGGAACGCGCCGGTGAGCTCAGCAACACCAAAAGACCCGAAACAACTGCGGTGGACGACCGAAGAATCCTTCCCCTGGTGAAGAAAACATCCTTCACAACAGTTGGACAGATCAAGAACACTCTCCAGGAGGTGGTGCATGTGTGTCAACAATCAAGAGAAGACTCCACCAGTGTGAATACAGAGGGTTCACCACAAGATGTAAACCATTAGTGAGCCCCAAAAACAGGAAGGACAAATTAGAGTTTGCCAAACGACATCTAAAAAAGCCGTCACAGTTCTGGAACAACATCCTGTGGACAGACGAGACCAAGATCTACTCGTACCAGAGTGACGGGAAGAGAAGAGCATGGAGAAGGAAAGGAACTGCTCATGATCCTGAGCATACCTCATCGGTGAAGCATGGCGCTGGTGAAGCATGGCGCTGGAAGTGTCATGGCGTGGGCACGTATGGCTGGTTCTCTTGTATTTATTGATGATGTGACTGCTGACAAAAGCAGCACCATGAATTCTGAAGTGTTTCAGGCAATATTATCTGCTTATATTCGGCCAAATGCTTCAGAACTCATTGGACAGCGCTTCACAGTGCAGATGGACAACGACCCAAAGCAAACTGCAAAAGCAACCAAAGAGTCTTTGAAGGGAAAGAAGTGGACTGTTTTGCAATGGCCAAGTCAATCACCTGACCTGAATCCGACTGAGCATTTCACGTGCTGAAGACAAAACTGAAGGGAAATGTATTAAAGTATTAAAAAGTGGTTCTTATTCTGTCCCATTACCCTGCCCTGGATGTAAACACCCTCAAATAAAAGCTGACAGTCTGCAGTTAAAGCACATCTTGTTCGTTTCATTTGAAACCCATTGTGCTGGTGCATACAGCCCAAAATGTTAGACTTGTGTCGATGTCCCGATATTTATGGGCCTGACTGTATATCGATGCAGCTCTTGGGAACTTTTGGAAACATTCCACAGCCGGCTGCTGTAACCTGGACTTTTCAGCAAAGTGTGGGCGGTGTTGTGGCGGTTTGCACCATTAATTCACAGTCAGAGTTCAAATCCAGTCTCTTGTCTGTGGAGTTTGCATGTTCCCTTTGCATGATAGTGGGTATAAGGGGCTAGGTTTATTGGCAGTCCTAAATTATACCCTCCCCTCTTACCCTACGATACCCGGGACAGGCTCCAACCCTCTGCCACTGTAAATTGGATAAGTGGAAGAAGATGCAGATGTATCCCTCAGTTTCCAGGCTTTATGAACAGCTAATCTAAGATGCAGGTCTTTGTAGTTTCACTACAAATCTACCACATAGACAAACTGACAGTCTTCACACTTGACAAGAAAACCACAAACAGTGTTTCCAGCCGAGAATTAGCAGTAAAATTATTTTGAAAATCTTTGAAGGAAAAGCCAATGCTCGTATTTGTGCCTGGAACTGTCATTCCATCACACACACACACACACACACACACACACAGCAAATGAATAGAAAAAAAAAGTCTATACAATATCCCTGAGCTCTCTTTGTGGTCACTCTTCTCAGCACGACAGATAAAGAGCTTACGCGAGCGTAGCAGAGTCCACCTTCCCGGTCACCTCCAGTCCATACAAGCGCTGCATGTCGCTGATAGCTTTGGACATAATCTGAGCCGACTGCATGGTGGACATCTGCCTGCTGGCTTGAGACAGGTAGCCGAATTTACGGAGCCATGCCTGCGTGGAAGGAAAATAGAAGAGGTCGTCAGGTTTCCTTAAGATAGCAGGTCTCTGTGCTTGTGCATGGTGTATACATGAGCGTGACAGCCCCAGCTGTTGGAAGAGCAGCATCTGAGGAGTCGGGAGGAAAGAGAAAGTAGAAACAAACCAGATGGCTTGCATTAATACCAGGACATTCCTGCTCCTGCGTTCCTGCGGTGACAGAAACGGGAAAACTGACATTAAATAAATTGCACGTCAGTCCTGTGGGTACACCAGCTAAACCTATAGCTCTGCATGAGTGCCTGAGGTGCCTGCTGAAAGAAGCGTCACATGTTGTGAATTATTCTTCTTCGTTTCATGTTTGATGGCACTGAAACTGAGCCACGAAGTCACAGAACAGGCAAAACAGGATGATGGCTCCAGATGGGTGGGGGGAGGGTCCTGATGTTAGGTAACATGTGCCTCAGCAGGAGAACACGAAAAAAACCACATGCAACGCGGCTTCATGCGTGCGCACTGAGACAGAAAATCCTTAGAGGGTCTTTGCTAGCAGGACAAATCTTAACCAATCAAATGTGTCGTTATGAAGCCGGACGGGCCAAACCTGCCAGAGAGAAACTTTCCTACAGCAGTGTGGTTTACGTGACAGGTTTGAATAATGTCCCTATTAAACATTTAAAAGCAGAGCTTAAAAACACATTTAATTAGCCTTCGTGTTGTGTTTGGTGGATAAACTCACTAATAAATAATCACAGGTAACACAACACATCAAAGTCATCTCCAGGTGAGTTTCAAACTTTTACAATGACAGTTTCACTCTGCGGTCTGAAGATGCCGCTTCAGACACATTGTTACCACTCAAAGGAAACACTCGGGTCTAATCGTTTCCTTGTTGACGGACGTCGGTCACACCTGCAGAGCTGTTATCTGGAAAGAGGACAAAGGTCAAACGAGCTCCCGCTGTAATCTGTAATTCTGCAGTGAGACTGTTGAAAGCAGGATGATTCGTTTCAATGTGCAGCAACAACGCTTTAAATAACAACATGGCAGTCTCTCCCCTACGGAGCCTTCAGCGTACCTCGGCGCTGAAGCGTTCTTCCTCTGGGTCATCTGGCACCGCGCTGCACAAGACCAGGGAGAGTAAGGACGCGGACGTGATGATCTGAGCCCAGGTTTGTTGGGATGTCATCCTTCCCTCGGACGCAAAGACTTGTTGAATGGCAAATATCAAACCAAGCCGCTTCCTCCGACAAGCAGATGCTTTTACATTTAACTCCTGCGGAAAGTGATCTATCGGGCCATTATTGTTCAGCTGAGAAACTTAAGGCACATTTAAAAGCCCGAGAAAACAAAGTGTTTCTACTCCATTCTTGGTCGATCCGGGACAGCTTCCCTCACGGAGCATCCAAGTGTTTGTTTCCTCATACGGAGCTGATGCAGCAGAAGTCCTTGCCCCTTTCTGACGGTCACAATGGCTGATCGGCAGCTGAGGAGAAATCCTGCTGAAAGTCACAACTTCAAGCGTCCGAGCACCGAAATGAGCGCATGAAAAGTAAAGTACTTGTTGCGCTGTTTCTGGGGTTACTGCAAAAACCGACCGCAGTAACCCCCCAAAAATCAACCCGAGGGAGAAACTTCACTTTCCCCGCTGCAGAAATCGACTTCTTTACGTTTTAACCGCGCAGCATGCCTGAGCCCATCATCGGACAAAAGAATCCGCCATAAAATATCTGTTACCGACTTCCTGTTAAGACCTCCCCCTCATGGCTCAACAAACCTGACCCCAACAAAAGGCCACACAAGGTAATGGTCAGTCTGCCCTCTGCTGCTGTGAATGGGACGCTGCAGCAGGTCCACGTGACCACAGCCATTTATTTAACTATAGAAAAATCTTCATGTAAAACACGCGTCGTGTTATTTCAAGTCCTCAAAATAAAACGATTAAAATTCGCTTTTTCTTTAACAAAATTTCCAGACACTAGAGTGACGCGCAGTGACGTCACAGATATTTGAAGCTACGGGACAGTTTCATCTCATCTCCATACAATTTGCTGCCTTCATTAATCGAGTTACGGAGAAAATTAGACATTGAAATATCCAATATTGCATTTCTAATGTTAGGCTTTCCTAACAACACTGTTGCTTTCGTTAATGATGAGCCCACATGTGTCTGGATCTCAGTTTATGCTCACGAGGCATCATCTTAGATGAAACTTGATTTTTGCTTACAGGTCACCAGTTCCTTCTGCAGCCATGCTTTCCTCAGCTGACACCCACAGTCTGTGAGAACACTTGTTACGGTCGTCATAATAATAAAACAAAGGAAAAAAAAAAATGCACGTTTTAATGTTTTATTTGTGCTGCCAGCAGCATTGTCATCACTGCTCCTCTATTTTCGCTAGCCTCTTTCTGCCAGCCTTGGCCACAGTGATGAGGATGATGAGGAAGAAGCCGAGAGTCCACACAGCTGCTACGGGCAGCACCACCGCCAACAGTACGCCTGAAACAAATGTGAAATTTAAAGAGAATGAAGGGACACGTTTCTCATTAGCAGAAACCTGCTGATGCTACAGGAGCAGCAGGCAGAGTGTAAAGATTGATAGAGAAACAGGAGCTTACTGGACTGAGATCTGTCTGGTACTTCGATCCTGATGGGGCCATAGGTGAGGAGACCCTGAGCGGGGTCTGCACTCACTGCTTCTCTCTTACTGATCGAGTTACAATTCTGAAAAAGAATGATGCTCCTGAGAAAAGTCAAAGATGATGAGACGGTAAAAACGATGCACTTCATCGTGTCCACACACTCCTAAATCGCCCTCAATAATAATAGCAGCAGCTCACGGGAATGCAGGACTCGTGGTCGTCCAGGTCACACAGCTGTACGGTGCAGTGCAGGTAGAGGTCGTGGGGATGTGCTGAGAAGCGAAACATGTCGAAGCTGTAGCGGACAGTGGACTTCTGCCCATTACGTCCAGACTGTCCCTCGGTTATATTAAGGAAGGAAACCGTTTGGTCCTTCACACACCTGGGATGAGAGAAGTCACTGGATGTGAGGAGTTCATCGTTCACGTGCCAAAAAACAACAAAGAGAAGTTCTGACCCATTCTGAAGCAGGAAGTGAACAGATCCCTCTGTAGAGTTCGGCTGGGGATACTGTGTGGCCCAGCACTCGTTTACTCGGAGCAGAAATAAATCTGCAGGCTCCATCATTGTAACCTCGACATATACCTGTGCAAAACAAAACAATTAGCTTTAATTAATATTTGGTTCTTCAGAAGGCACTTAAACCAAGACGATTTTCTAAGAATGAATGTCAAAATTCCCAATCTTCTGATTTGATTCTTTGATGGCAGAGAAAGGATTGACCTGCTAATCCCAGTTGAGGTCATCTCTAATGGGAGCGCGTGCTTACAAAGGCAACAAAGTCAAAGCCACCATCAGTGTGTAGAACATTAGCTGGGACTAATTTCACCCCGAGCATAAACTCGGCTAAACGTTTCGTCCCTTTAAACCTCATTTTCAGCATTTAGCCTGAACGGTCAAACGCGTGGTTCTCCAACTCGGTGCTGGGAACCAGTTGTGGACAACAGAGCCACACAGGTGAGGTGTGGAGGACCAGAAATATGGTTTTCGTCCAAAAGCCCTGAGCAACCCCTCATTTCTTGATATTTTGTTAGGAAAATAGGACAGATTTATTGAAACGTGCAAACACAAATGGAAACATTTGAGGCAAAGAGAGTTTCTACATCGTCAACCAACCTTCTTCAAGGACATTCAGAGCTGCTCTTTGGATGCTGGCTGCCTTTTGTTCCATTGCTTCAGTAATATTAAGATCTGGAGGCCAATCACCAACTAACCATGTATACTGTCACTGCATTTGCAGTCCTTGGATTCATGTTGAAAAATGGAGCTGCTGCCAATCACAAGCTTTGCAGATGATAATGTAAATCTGATGGTACTTTTCATATCGTTAACGACTTTGACAAGATCATCAATACTACTGAAACCCAAACCATAACAGCCTCCGTGCTTCACAGATGACTTGAGACATCCTGGTGTGCTGCTCTGACCTCGTCTGTAGATACTGATGATATTTGGATGCATCGCTCCGTGATGCCTGTTGCTACCGTTCGTGTACCTTGGCACACCTCAGGTTTTCCCTCCCTTGTAAATGCCTTCATGACAGCCGCTCTACCACTGAGACCACAGAGGTAAACGGTTCATGAATTACTCAGCTGAAGAACCAGATGCTTCTCTCAGGTCTTCACTGGATTCCCCCATTTTTTAAGGACATGACTTTCATGTATTGTTCATCTGCTGCAGATATCTGTCTTTTAGCCCGGCCAACTCGTTGTGTCCACCTCAACACACACACACACACACACACACACACACTTTCTGAGTTTGAGGTGACCCTGCACACCACCTCCCCCTTTACCAGGGCGTTGGTGTTGTGTGTCCAGGTGAGATGGAAGGCGACGTGGGTGCCCAGAAACCTGAAGGTGGAGACAGATTCCACCACTTATAGTGGGACCGGTCTGTGCCTCCTGAAGTCCATTATGAGTTCATTCAGCTTCAGGCTGTTTTCTAAACACCAGCGGGACAGGTTCTCTACTTGCGCCCTGTACGCAGTCTCATCTGCATCAGAGATGAGCCCAGCCACGGCCATGTCATGGTCAAGCATGCCAATGAAACCCGCGTGATGTTTGCCATTTATTCCTGTTTTCTACCATCTATATTGCATTCTGGCACCGTTGGTGTGGAGCACCCACAATTCTAGTGTACATGTACAATGACAGTAAAGGGCTAATCTATTGCATTTGAACCAGGGCCCATCAGCATTGTAACCTGTGCATAATCAAACTGCTCTTGGGCAGCTTCTGTCCAAGATAACAGATCAGCATTTACAAAACCACCACCCAACAGTCTTGGAAAATGGCACCACCATTGCAGCTGGCATCATGAGTCAGACCGTGGTCAGGCGGGCAACAGTGCTGAGGATCTGTAGTCCTCTGTATCAAACAGACTGATTTTAGCACTAAACCCTTCTACTTGTTGCCATCAGATATGAACAAAACCCTATTAATCAATCAGAGTAATATTTCTACAGCCCTGAGTGCACGTTGACTAGCACTACATGTACCTGCTTAGCTCAGGTGTTGCATAAAGGCAGGCTGCAGCACAGCACAGGTGAATTTGAAACCTGCTGCAAAGAACCAAAAGTCCATCCTTGTGTCAAAGCATCAGTTTCATCTGTGACTGGTTAAAATCTTAACCCACCTTGTCTCGGAGTTCAATGGTTGGAGAGCTTGTGTAAGGTTTAGTGTAAGTGTGGTCTGTGTACAACATCATCCGTATCTTGGCTTCAAGTTCATCTACTCGCATCACCGTCTCGCTGCACGTAAACAGAAGAAAGTCAAGAAAGGCGGGTTGTTTGGTGGCTCTGAATACTCAATGGACAGAAAATCATTAACTCATTGCAAAGACTTCAGCAGACGGGTTTCAGAGGTCCATCAATTGAACAGACTTATTACAATGCTCAAAGGCAGCTTAAATAAAAAGTACCATGAATGGAAAAGATGCGTTTATTTCGCCTCTCACCTGGAGATTGGTGAAACTGAAAAAGGCAGACTGACTCTTCTGATGAATGGATACATGCACGTGAAATCCATCCTGATAACTGGATCTCTAATGATGTTTCCAGTAACCCGAGGGTCTGACCTCACACTCAGGGAAAACCAGATGTGAGTTACATTTTTCTGTAAGGGGACAATAAAAGAAACAAAACATTGAGGTGCTCATCCTTTTCTAGGCTGGCGCAGACATTAAAGGAATTGTGCTCGAGCTGCACCTCAAACGGCAGTCCTCCACAGGTCACGTATTTGTGTTTGGAGACCCTGAACACGTAGTACGGGACGCCGTCGATGTGCTCTCTCTTAGCACCACAAGATTTGTTTGGCAAGTGAAGCGATTCCAGCGGCACGCCGTGATACTCGAAAAAAGCTTCCGCTGCTCTGATTGCTACGTGGTCTTTCCCACACATAACCTTGAGATGTGCATCTGTAAGAAGCAAACGTCAGCGAGTCTCTAACGTAAACACGGTATCAAAGGAAACGGCTCAGTTGTTGAATCGCATCCATCTGAGATTCCAGTTTGTTCGTGTAAATGAGAAGTTTGATGCACACAAAGGTTAGCCATGGAGTCCCACAAGGCTTGTGCTAGGACCAGAGATGGGCTGTAATCAGATTACTTTTTTCAAGTAACGAGTAAAGTAAGGGATTACTATTGCAAAAACGGTAATTAGATTACCGTTACTTTCCCGTAGGAACGCTGCGTTACTGCGTTACTAAAACCGTGATTTTTTGCGAGAATGTCTCATGACAGTGACGTAAGCGAGTGCGACGTTCGTGACAACAGCTGTGTGCAGATCAACAATGGATCACATATCGAGTGCAGAGAGAGTATGAGCGTGCAGCGTTTAAAGCGTGGAAGTACTGACCTTACTTTGAGTTTGATTCCATAAAAAGTGACAAAAACATGAGTGTCCGCTGTGCGTGGGAAGAAAACTTCTTTTTACAGCGAAAAAACCCCTAAACTTCCAACAAGCACCGAGTAGCTACGACGTAATGGGAAACTCACAGAGAAACTCGCGGATTCTTCCACTGACCGCGGCACACCTGCACCAGGGTAACCCTCCGCCTACCCCACTCCTGCTTTACAGGTGAAAATAGAGCAACAGGACCGCTGAGTCTTTGACTTTATTTATTTTCTGCTGTGTTTTACTTGCATCTATTTGAAAGACTGAGTGTAAACACAAAAAATATTTTATTTTATGTGCTGGAATGTGCAGAAAATAGGTTTAAATGTTAAACTAATTTCTTCCAGTCAGAGAATGTTGCATGATAATTAAATTTTTGCTTGATGCATAAAGTTAAAAGATTAAAACTAATAAAACAAGTTTTAAAAAGAGACTTTTCCATTCTGATTACATTTTGTATGATGGATTATGCAGAAAAAGTAGAATTGGGCTGAAAGATCTATCGCTTTATCACCTTTCAGGTTGTAAATCGTGTTTTTAAAAAGTAACTAAGTAACTAAGTAATTAATTACTTTTGAAAATAAGTAATCAGTAAAGTAACGGGATTACTTTTTTGGGGGAAGTAATCAGTAATTAGTTACTGATTACTTTTTTCAAGTAACTTGACCAACTGGCCAGACCACTACAGTTCGCATTAAACAACCTCCCATTAGACAATATTATTAGAAAACACTGCACACACTGAAACAAAATGACATCAGTTGTCTCAAAGGCCTGGATGAACTTATTTGTATTCCATCGTTTCCATTTTACTTCTCATCGTTTTTAAAACTAGTTTTCATTGCAGTTGGTTTAAATGTCTTCTTACACCAAGCTTTCGTTAACTGTAATAACCTGGGTTATATCCCACCTCTTGAAACACGTCAGATGACAGGCAGCCCTGTCATTGTTTGCTAGTTACAAATGTGACTGTGCCTCAAGTTTCTAGTAGAAAATTAGGAAAAAAGTTTTTCCACATCAAACCATAATTTGACTGAAGATTTCTTAGGGGGCAGTACGCAGTACTCTAAAACACCAGGTAAAAATGAGCACACCTTCAGAAGATTAGATTAATTAACATCAGGCTTTGCTGAATGAGATGGCAAGAAACATCACAGGTATTGAATTTGCTACATAAGAAAACACGAGCCTGCGATCAGGAGAAGCACCGTTAACAATGCGGTCAGAAAAAGAAGCATCTACACTAGTCGGGAGAAAGCTGTGGGTGGGTTGTTGCATATCAGCATTTTAAAGTAGAAGAACCGGGGGGGAAAGAGATCCAAGTTTGTGGCAGTAACAGATGGAGAAGCAGAAGACAGAAGGGTACTGCAGAGTGAAACGTGGTGGAGGAAATGTTTAAATCTGGGCTCGTTTGGGCTACTCTTAAGTTGTTCGTCCTTCAGAGACACTCCACCCTCTGGTTTGCTTGTTTGTGGATAAGGATTCATACACAGCAGTGGGATAATGAGCCCAAACACACCTCAGTCTTTGTGAAATTGGACTGTCACGGGCTGCCCTCCAAAAACACAAAACACTACATATTCATGTTGGAACAAGACATGGAAGTGGGTATAAGAGGACTTGCAGAACAGTGTCAGTGCAGCTAAATGCATGCCATCACAATGACAAGCTTTGAAATAATATTCTAAGAGATATTAGCACCGGGATCAAGCTGAGAAGCTGATCTTAGACAAGTATACATTTTTGTACTTGTTATGATTTAATCTCCAATTCTAAAGCCCTAAACACAATCAGCCCAACTCAGCATAATTCTGGGGTGCATTCAGTTTCTCTTTGACAAAACTGATGATGAAATGCATTGAAATAAAAGAAAAGACAGGAGAGCCTACTTCGGTCACACTTGTCAGCATAAAAGCCGAGAGCACATTTGCAGCTCCTCTGGTCTTTAGACAGGACGCATCTTGTGGGGTCGGTGCAATGCTCCACACTGCAGGTTCCTTAGAAAGGACACAGTAAACGAACTTGATAAATCTCCACGCTGAAACACATCTCACATTTTTTTAACCTTCTTACCCTCAACCCCGTCCAACGTGAACCCGAGGAAAAGCAGCAGAGCCACGGGAAGCTATTTTGGAGGAAGGATATTTCCGCTTTTACTCTTTTTTATCCATCTTTCTTTTTTACACGAAAGGACAATAAAGCTGTGGATGTTTCACCCGGGCCTACCTTCAAGCCGGTTAAGCTCATTGCAGTAACGATTTGTGGGTGTATGCAGGACACGCTGGCGTTATATTTGCAGTCAAACAAGACGTCCTTCTCCGCTCCGTCGTTACTTCACCTGCCGGTCCCCAATCAGGAACACCTGCTGTGTTTTTCCGTGGAGGGTTTTGGAGCTTTAACCCCGCTGTTTGAACCCCGCGAATTAATTCGGCTAAATATGTCATGTTTAAAGTATCAAATAAGTTTGAACACTCAGCCCCACCACGTCGATCTCCTGCGTTTTATTGATTAACATAAATAATATTCTGATAATTGATTATATTTACATTTTATAGTTTCACGGTTTCCCTTAAAACAAAGGGAAAGAAAATAAAAAGAGGCAAAACACAAACATCTTTTTTTAGTTCCTTCGTGGATGTGCTGACAAAATTGGTTTTATATATCAAGAGGTTTCCAGCAGAGGGCGCTATTGCCGCCTCAAAATAGTTCCGTGCTTCGTCCATCACCGTTTACAGCAGTGGTTCCCAAACTTTTTTTGCTGGGCCCCTTTGTTTTACCAGAAAAATGTTCGCCCCCCCCCACCCTACGCGCGTGCCCATGCACACGCACAAACACATCCTCCACCCACACGCGCCCATCTTTTGCTCCATTGCGGTTTATTTCACACCTCAAACATTTAGTAAACAATGAAGCAAATACAAGTAACCTGCAATAAATTACAGGTAGTAATAAAATAAACTACTAACTCTTTTACGCTGCGTCCGCACCTACACGGGTGTTTTTGAACACGCAGCTGTTTCGTCCACGTAAACGGCGTTTCGAATCACCGAAAACGGAGATTTTCAAAAACTCCTTTTTTGCGTTTAACGTGTGGACGAGGAATACAGAGTTCGCACGGTCAAAGGTATGAGCCTTTTTCACGTCACGCTGTGGCCACGTTATTGTTTACATGAGATGAATCGCAGAATGATACAAAATGCTGTTAGTCTGACTGTCTGCAGGTTTTGCAGGCAGTTACTGTCCCTCCACTTACAAAGGCAGAGGCGTCATGGTGTCATTATTTTACTGTAGTTGTTTTTATCCTGTGTAATAATGTTCAACATTGCTGTCAATACATTTTTGAAAATGTTGGTGAAGCCAAAGGGAAGATTGGCTTCACCATATTTTCTAGTCTTTGGCTTAGAATGAAGTTGGTTTGGAAACATATTCAGCGATGCTTCATCTCCTGCTTTGCGTTTCTGTGGGCGCCCCGTGCTAGCAGTGTCCAAGCGTTTTGTTTTGATCCCCCCCCGCCGCTAGGGGGCGGGCCCCACACTTTGGGAAGGTCTGGTTTACAGTATGCGTAGCAGTCACTCAGGTGACTTAAAGTTCGGCTCTCCACTAAAGTAAAGACTTTGAGCCAGATGCATCTGGACACTGGAAAATCACTAAAACCACTTTGATTCCATATTTGGACCACTGCGGGTACAGAAGGTTTAGTGTCAGCAGGTCAAAACAGTGGGGCTCCTGCATGATGGGCCTGTGGTTGGAAATATCTGTGTCTCCAGGGAAGCCATAAGTGGGTCAGTGCATTTCCTTCTGTTCCAACTCGTCACACCCCGAGGCTGGGGTCCATACTCTCAGGCATCACTGGCCAGGCCTCCCTTCTCTGCTGCAGAGGCACGAACAGGACCGAGGAGCAGGTTCTTTGTCTCTGGTTGTTCAGAGCTGTACACTTCATTTTATTTTTCCAATCTTCAGTTTTGCAAATTTGAGTAGATGTGACATGATGTTACAAAACCTCTGAGGAAAAATCGGCTGAAATCCAGCAAAGAGCAGAGGCCAAAGATTTTGAAATTACCGATAAATAATGGCTCGGCACACGTCACATTTTGGTTTAAGATGAAATACTGTTACAGTACAAAGATGTCCTCTTTTTACACTGTTGGTAATTAGCTTTAGATTTACAATGTAGCCATGTGTGCTCTTGTCTTTGCAAGCAGAAAAAGAATCATTCTGCTACATTTGATCTGTTCTGTGCTTTGATGCCCACTTCCCCTCTAGCTGTAGGTAATACAATCCACTGTGTTACTATAATCTCAGTCAAAGAGAACAGAAACATACTGGACTTTATTAATGGACCAAAGAGGGAATCTTATGCTTTACAGCTCAACGCGGTGAGTTTATGGAAGATTTCATCAAGCAGATGTACCTGATATCAGAGTGGATTTGACTAAAATAACTGAAAAAGAAAGAAAGAAAAAATGATCTCGGCAGATTTAACTGACAAAAACACGATCATTATTTTCCCTTTTCAAAGTACACAAATGATCGTTGTAGGACTGAAGACTGAGCTCTCCCAGCTCTGCTCCGTCTGGCTGAAGCGGGTCCTCGTCTCGTCGGCAGCGGTGCAGGGCCACCCTGGTGTTGTGAAATAGCCGGGTTATAAGAGGTGTGTGTCATCGGCCTGATTCACAACACCAGCTGCGGCACACACACCTGAGAGGCAGATCTTCGGGTGACGGAGCTCTTAAAAACACGCACGAGCATTTTCCTGAGAGACTGCACCGCCCAATACAGTCTAACGCGGCCCTGACGACGTAAGCAGGAAAAACATAAGGAGGCGATAAAACAACAAATGCAAAGGCGAGACAAAAAGACGCCCGAGCACAACAGCGTGGACCTCCTTTACCGTTCAGCTCAGCTGTGTTTGTGACCACGAGTGATTCCGACTCGTCTGCAGTTATGTGGAGCAGCAGAGACAGAATGAGCCTCCATCTGTGTTCTCTCAGGCCAGACTGAAGGACACAGAGTGTGGGCCACAAACAGAGGAGATGGAGGGCCAGTTTTTCTAGCAAACCTCAAGCGATGTCTGGTTGTGCTGCTGAATGTTCGACAGGGGCTCCAGGAGGGGCTCGGTCTGAGTTCAGGTAGCTTATAAAGGCAGGAGTGGTTAAGATGCTGTTCTAAATGCTGGCCGGAGCGCGGCCGGGCGATTACGGTGCGCATACCACAGAAGCCCTTACAAAAGATTTGAAGGAACTTTGCATACAAACGTATCACAAAGTTAAACAACGTCCACATTTTTAGTTAAAGATTAGTTTTTGGTTTCTTTACTAATAAAATATTTTAAGACTACCTCCTTTGAGAATACGCACAAGGAACGAGCATCACGAGGACGCACTCGTTCTGCAGCGTGCGGTAAAATGTCTCCTTTTGTTCCACTGATTTCCCCTCTGATGGAAACAGAAATGTCCCCCCCAAGTCCGATAGCTGAGCTTGAGCCAACCAACCATCTGCCAGGGGACAGGACGCTCCACAGCCTGTGGAAACGGCACGGCTATGGCCTGCGACACTCGGGACTGCGTAAGGCTGAGAGGAACGGTCTTGTTTTGTTTCCCAGGGAGACGATTCAATTAGATTTCACCTGATTTATTCCCTCAGGGGGGACATGGAGCATTTCGAGTCTGTTGGGTAAAAAACAAAAGTGTTTGCACCTTCTGTTTTAGACGAGTTCACTCTCAGGATGTGTTCTCCAGTATTTCCTTTGTGCAAGTTAATATAGGTGCGTGATGACTAAGCCTGCATGTAACGGCTCCCGTATTAAACACATAATATTGTCACAACTTTGACAGTAGCACTGAAATAAAATGAAGCAAATGAGGAAAAAAGGAAGAAAATGTAACGAAACATAAAATGTTTCAAAATAAAAAAGACGAACGAAAAGCAAACTTTTTATTCTAAATCATCACAGATACAAATATGAAACAAAACAATGGAAATAACAAAAACAGACTGACAGGATTCCAGATGAGCAAAAAAACCAACGTATGGCTCAACATGGCGATGAACGCCGCGGCTTTTACACAACAAGATGACAGGTGAGCGTGTGAATGAGCCGGTCTTCAAAAGCCCAGAGGTTTCTGCTCATCGTGTGTGTGTGTGTGCGTCTCAGTTCATCAGTAACTCCATCTGCACCAGTCTCGCGTTGGTGTCCCCGGCCATGTTATAGGGAATCATGCCAGCGAAGGTGATCAAGGCTCTGGCCTGACCGCGCAGTTGCTGTTCAGAGAAGAGATGGCGTGTTAACATAACGCATCAGTGAGACAGAATATTTAACAACCAGCGAGCTGGGCATAGACTAGCCGGCTCGACACAACCTAAAATCCTTCTGTAGACACCAGCTGCAGTCAGCAAGCTTCTGGGTCACCAGGCTTTCTATGTGTGATGTAAGTAGAAGTGAAAAGGTAGAATCCAGAGGAGCGACGGAGACGTACTGACAAGAGACGAACGAGAAACTGCCAAAAATGTCACATGAATATATTCAGTTTGCCACTAAATGTGCTCGTATCAGCTCAAATATTTGAAGTAAATGGATCTTTGTATAAAAACAGAATGCGTTAGGTTCAGATCTACCTATAAACACACGTCTTTAGCGCTGTGCTCATTTCCTCACCGTGTCTCTGTCCTCCATAGTCCTCTGTGGCCGTCCCGGTGTGCCGGCTGGCGCCCCCTTCAGGCGTTTGTACTGCGTGTAGAGGATGTTCATGGTGGCCAACAGCACCTCAGACAGGTTGTGACGCACCTGGAGGAACAAAACGACATTTAAATAAAGAGAAAGCAGAGAAGTGGAGTCCATATAAAGACTGCGTATCGGTTTTGTGTCTGGTGTCCAGAACCGAGTCGACACCTCATCGCTGAAGTTCCTGAAAGCCGCCACTCTCTCCTCCACGCTGTCCTGACTGAGCGGAAGAAGCTTTAAGCGCTCCATCACCTGACAGAGAGAGGCAGCGTTAATGTGACGAGGCCGCGTGCGTCTCCCTTCATGTCTGTTTGTTCATTTTCAGAGTTGCACTCACATCATACGCTCTGTCGACGTGCCCTGCGTGGTACTCGTCGAAGAACGTCATCAGGTCTAAGAGCAGGTAGAAGGTACTATCGACCGACTTGTCTCCTGCTACGCCCTGAGAGCGATACCTGCAGAGGGAAAATAAAAGGTTACGGAGGTGCGTGTGTAGATTTTGACCAGCGCACGGCGTGTCCGTGTCCTTACCTCTCGGCGATGGCCACGGCGGTGTTTTTTAGCCTCTCCTTGTTGGACTGAGGCGCGCTGACCTGGGCGATGACGGGACTCAGGAGCCGATTCATCAGCTCCAGCACCTTGTCTGAGTTCTACGCAGAGACACACGTAAAGTGAACGAATCCCAAAGCGACAGCTCTGCAGAGATACTGCGCAGTGCACGGTCTGCTCACCTTGGCCAGCTCGTACAGTTTGACCGCCTCCTCAAACAGACCTTTGTTCTCGGCCTCCAGAGCCACTTTACTGATGATAGCTCTGGTGTCCCCAGCAAACTTATCTATGACTCCAGGCTAGAAAGGAGAGGAAGGGAGACGGGCGTGAGGCTGAGAGCGGTGCAGTTCTGACAGTAACAATGTGCCTTCTGTTCTATTGTGTTACTCAAACAAAATAAAACCCGTCCTTAAAGTCTGACTGTCCATCAAAATAAGTCGATGCATATTTTTAAGTAAGCCGTTAATACAGAAGCTGCACGTCTAACGATGCGCCGTGACGCATTTAACATTGTCAGTCGTGAGTGGGACGCCCCGTGACAGCAGAACCGAGCGCTGCTGAACGGGGCGTGTTGAGACATGCGGGACACGTGCCAAAGGACCCCCCCAGGGACAGGGAAGACAAATTCAAAGCAAGACGAGGAAGACATGGGCAGACAGTAGGTGAGGGAGGCAGGTTATAGAAATAACCATCGACGAGATGACAGTGAGCCGAGACGTCGGAGACGTGTCCATCGTCCTACCTTCCTACTGCCGTCCTTCTCCAATCTGCCCAAAAGCATGTCGAACTAAAAGAGGACAAAGTAAAAATCACCACATGACAATAAATACATGAATCCAACATCGTCAAAGTTCACATGTAAACTTGTTTTCCAGGAGAGATCTGTTATTAAAACCAGACAGAGCAACACATTGTTCTGAATCTAAAATTCCCTCCATGCTCCTCACACCTGTTTTTATTACAAACATTTGTCAAACGTTGCTTTAGCATATTCTATTTTTCATATTCTTTAAGTATTTTTTAAACAGATGAGCTGTTTCAGAGCCATTCCTATTTAACGGGTACAACACCGGGAATCATGCAGGTCTCATCTGCCCCGCGAGAAGCACAGTGAACCAGCTCTAAGATGTTCAACATCAGCTCATCTGTCACCAGTGCAAAGCTTCTGTGCTAACGTTCGATCTCAGAGTAAAACGGCCGCCCACCTCTCGACTCTCAATGACAAGTTCGCTGACACAGCGCATGAACATGTTCTCGCCCTGGTTGTCTTTTTCATTGCTGCAAAAAAGAAGAAACATGAATCTAAACTTGGAGCTGTACAACATATCGTGTGTGTGGTGCAGGGCGAGAAAATGTGTTTACCGCAGGAAGTAGAAATACTGCAGCGCTTCTCGTGGATCCGTGGACTCAAACTTGCGAGTGTAGAGCATGAGCAGGCGGATAAAATTGAGCCGACGCACCATGGGAGGGTCACCGGGCTCCTGGCTCACTGCGGGGAGGATGTGATCAGTGAGATCGACAGGAAATAGAATATGCATGTGCATTACCCTACAAAATAAAGGTGATACTCACGTAGCTGAGCGCTTTGACCGGTGGACTTCAGCAGCAGCCGTAGCTCATACAGGACCAACGCCACGTGCACGGCGTGACTCCTGAGTCGCTCGACTCGAAACAGGAAAGCCACCGCCGCCTCAAACTGAGCCGTCAGGAACAACACCTGGAAATACAGGAAGGGCTGCTGGCTCGCAGAAAAATGGGACTCGCCTGCAGAGAAGAGGCGGAATAAAGACGGAAGGTGGGAAAATCAAGCGTCTGTGACCAAAACCTGCAAACAAGTTCAGGAGGAAACGGGTCGCGCTGCTCACATCCACATGAACATAGTAAACGAGCGTTTCCGTTCACTCTGCGGAGATGGATGGAAGTCACCTGTGTGGGTGTTTCACCGTCTCAGACAGAAACTCTGCGCTTCACAGAGCTGTGCACATGGCCACGTCCGGTTTTTTTAAACATGGGAGGAGAAATTTAAAGACGTTTTTTGAGTGCAGGTACTTAGTCATCAAGTTTACTTTTTAATTATAATTCCTAATCCTCTTGTTGGCTGAAAGTTTGAGGAGGAGAGCAGGGTGGACCATGTCAGCCATTTTACAGCCTTATCGCAGACTCCCAGCGTTTTAGTTCAAAACGGGAGAGCGAGGGAGAGAGGAGGAGAGAGAGGGGGGAGATGAAGGGAATAAAAAGGACAAAGGGGGAGAGATAGGAGTGTGGGTGTGAGAGGGGGGAGAGGGGGAGGGCGCTGCAAACAAGAAAAGAGAAAGAAGAAATGCACAGCAAAGAATGTGAAAGGACAAAAATCAGTGGGACGGCGATAATAGAGGACGGGGCTGCAGGAAAGCAGACGAGCCCGGCACCGGCAGCGTGTGAGAGAAATGAAGACGGGTTTTGGGCTTCGTGTCCTGCTGTGAAGCAAGATGGAGGACAACGAGGAACGCTGTGCCAGACAACCGAGGGAGGCGAGCGGCAGAGAGAGAGAAAGCAGAACGAGGCTCCGGGCTGTGCTTCCCACCGAGCAGCGAGGGCGGGAAAATGGGAGATGGACAGAGAGAGGGAGAGTGAGAGAGAGCTCCGAGTCTTATCTGAACAGAGCAGGATCAGCCTGGAGAAGGCAACACCCAAGGGAGAAAGCTGTGCTTTTGTCCGTCTGTGGGAGGGAAGGCCTCCTCGCGCCCTTGCACTTGTGTCCCGGACATGTTGAAGTCTTACTTTAAATCGATTCTGGATGAAGAATCAAAGCGTGTCTGCTGGTGCCTGTTCACAGGCGTGAGCGGCTGACCCACAGCTCTCTTTAAGGCTGCTCTCAGCTTTCTGGTGTGCAGCTCCGTGCTCAACACCACGAATGCCCCAAAATGTGCCCCCAGTCTCTCGCTGTAATATTAATTATGGTGAGACATAAACTCGGCCCAGTTTGTTTCGGGCACTCTTAACGGCGTTTGACCCATTTTCCTCTCCCTGCTTTAAGCTGAGGAGCTTTGCTGACAGTGTTTGATAAAGCCTGTGGAGATGGGGTGGTAGGTGTTGGTTAATTTGATGCAGGTAGCTGTAGCACTTCCAAAGCAGGAAAGTCTCATCATCATGAGCACAAAGATGAACGACTGCTGCTATTTCCACATTTCCAGGTTACAGAAAAGAAATCAATTCACAAACAGACTCGTGAACTTTTGTTCCTGCCGACTATGACGAAGCTCTGAGTCACACTTGGCTCGTCGTCCATGGCAACAGCTGCTGAGGCTTATGGGGAGGGTAGTACTTCGAGCTGTTGGTACAGCAAAGAGAAGCGAGAATATTCATGTGCAGGAAACAGTTGAAATATTCATCGAGCGATTAGTTACACAGGAAAATGAATCACTTCTCTTTAACGATCACTGATGTTACTGATGAAAACTTCACATATGTAGCATTTAACATCTATATGATGTTTTAAAGATTGTGAATCTGACATCATATAAGAACACAACGAGACGCTGACAACAATAATCACCTGATGAAGCAAATCCTGAAGCGTGCTGTGATTCGTCACCAGCACACACATTACAGGTTGTGCACCTCGACTCTGTGCACAGAGGTGCTCGCACCATCGCTAATACGGCTGTTTGAACATTTTAACGGCTTAAACCAAACCAGCACTCAAGGAAACTCATTTTGATGTAGTTACATGTAGATGTAGTCCCTCAAATTTAACATAAGATTTTGTTTCTCAGACGACTCGCTCCTTACGAGGGACCGATCGTCCGTATGCACGCCGTCACCCTGCGTTCTACGTGTCTGCACAAACATAGATGCAGTCTCACAACAGCACGAGAGGCAAAGAGCAAACAGTAGCCCAAATAAAATCTGCATCCCGGGAGGAGCAAACAGCTCGGCCGTGCAAGCCTGTGCTTGTCCTCTGTGCTCGGGCAAAGAGATAATGGAAAAAGAGGAAGGTGGAGAGGCAATGTGATGCACCGCAATTCTCAGGAAACTAAAGTTCATATATTTGTAGTTATTTCGAGAGCTGAAGGAGAATTTCAGTCCCCTACCATAGTCTTCCAGCAGCTGTTTCTGTAGCTGTGGCAGGGTGAGTCTGTCCTGAGGAGAGCTGCTGCCGTCATCATCGAAACACACCTGGTTCAGCTGTGGGGACACAACGCGACGCACATTACGCAAGGGAGCAGCACAGCCCCGAGATATCAAACTGGGACGATGATCTCTAACCGACCAGGATCAGGAAATCGTGCCTTTAACCCAAAAACAGCAAACCAGGGGAACGGTACCTTAAGCCAGAGGTAGTCCTCAGTCTTGTCTGCTATCTCGCCGTGGTTGTCATTGATGTCGCATTTCCCAATCATGCAGTAGACAGCTCTCTTGTATGGATCGGCACAGTTTCTCAGCACTCTGCGGTAGTGCAAGCGAAGCTTGTTCTCTGAAGTCGGGGAAAGTCTAAAGAGGAAAACCAGATAAAACGGGAAGCGCGATAAGACTGGTTTGACCTTCAGGACTTCTCTGTGTGCAGAGGATGAGAATGAGCTGAGCGGAGCTCACCGTCTGTCAGGACTGTTCATGTACTCCTGAAACCAGGTCTTGAAATCTCCCAGCTGATGTTGCATTCTGTTCACCACCTGCATGGCTGCATGCAGGTCGCCACAGCGCAGGCAGTAGTAGATCACAGCCCACACCGGGTGGCCTTCTATCTCGCCGTCCTGTTGTGCAAATTGAACAGAGTGGTCGTATTATTTATTTATTTTGCAGCCACTGCTTAATTCTTCAGACGGTCGGAGCTTCGCACTGCAGATGTGACCTGTCAGCCACACAGACTCATCGAGAATCAGTGAAGCAACGGTGGGAGATTAAACCATTTGCACCTATCAGTCGCTGGCTTTTAGAGCACAGGTGTGCATGACCAACTGCATGAATGCCAAAGAAAAGATAAACTCTTAGATATAAATGACATTTCTGATCAGCCCATCAGATTATTCTGATTAGGGACTCGTGCACCAAGCCTGGGTCACCCTGCACAGACAGTATTACTGCAACAGTGAGGAAAGCAAATGAGTGTGGTAAAGGTTATTCAGGTAACGACTGGAGTGGAAATAATAAAAATGCAATCCAATGCAATTTTTACAAAAGTGATGAGGCCTGTAGGAAAGTGAAATAAAGTTGCGTGTTGCAGGCTTTCTTTATTAGCCAAACATTTAAACAGTGTATACACGTGTGGTACCTGCATGCCAGGCAGAGGCCCTGGTAGCTTGATGTTGAGGAAGCTGCGCACTAGTTGGTATGTTCCAGGCACCCCTCCTAGTTGGGCCTGATGGAGGTTCCCAAAGACAGTCACCATGGTGTAGTTTTTATAACTGGGAAAGACAGAATTCATATTTATGGTTCATTCTAGCTTAATTTCAGCAAACTGTAGATCCATGCATGTATCCACAAAAACAGGACCGGCTACCTGTTCTCAAGGAAAGCAAGTGCCTGGCGCACAAAGGCCATTTGCATTTCAACACTAGTGCGACTCTTCAGAGTGTCTTTGGCTGGAACCAACAACACGTCTGTCATCTGCTTCACCATCAGCCACAACTCTGACACGTTCTGGAGGAACGAGAGAGAAAGAAAGGTGCGTTCATACCGAGTAATCTGTTACATCTGTCAGTAACAAGTAACTTCAGGCTGATACATCAGTGAGAGATCAGCGTTCCTACCTTGTCGTCCAGGCTTTCTGCTACTGAAGCACATAAATCTCCCAGATTAGGCTGAATGTGACCGTTCACTATCTTCTCATTGAAAATGTAGATCTGACGGAGAACAAAACGGAGGCAGGTCCACAAACTGTTAAATGCTCGTTTTATAAGGAAATGTCAAAACTTTCATATAAACTTAGCCTCCGGTTAAAAATGAACCTTTTTTTACGACCATCGAGTGAAATGGTTCACAATAAAAAACAGCACGAAAAGTATCAAAATGTTGACGAGGTCGTCAAAGAGGATCACGAAAATCAGACAAACGACGCCGCACGCAATGTGTCGACACATGGTCGAAGTAATAAAATGTGGTGCAGCGAGTGGAAGCGACAGAAGGTCATCCTGGATGATGCTGGGTGGAGCGCTGGGGCGGGGACACGCGCCCCCTCTGCAGAACAATTAATCCATATGTTTGATCTGCAGCTTCCAGGCTTTGCTGTAACCCCGTTTCAACCAAACGATCGGCCGACAGCTTCATGTCTTTAACAGAACACAGCTAGAGATGATGATTATTATTATTGCTACCAAGCTCTGCGGCGCTGTTTGTATTAAAACACACTCTGCTGATGTCCTCCTTTTCCCCTTCATTAGATCCCATGTAATCAATACACGTTTATTCTTCTTCTATGCATTTATTACATAAGAAAAAGCAATAAATAACAGGCATTATTAGGCATTAGCACAACACATTTTAGTGCCACTAAAATGTATTTCCCTTATAGTAACATTTGCATTCAGATTTTGCAGCGTTAACCTGATATAAAAATGCTTCAGTAACAATAACCTGCTGTGCAAAATGCCACAATATGAATGCACTGAAAGGTAATTTGCATAAAACAGGAATGTTGATGTGCTGTGTGCATTTACCTGAAATTTTCACACCAAAATAATTGGACTATCGGGGACCCACCTGGCGTCCGTAGGCCACCTCCACGCTGTCCAGCGCACTTCTTCCTGGAGCGGTCACCTCACTCACAAAGCTGGGCTGTAATGGACCGCAGGTCAGGTGGTAAGCAAAGACAGAAGTAGATCAGTGGCGTGCTGCTGAGACGTTTGTGTCTAAACAGGAGAACTTTTGCTGCTCATTACTTTGCATGTTGAGAGTCTGAGACAGGAGGACGTCCTGTCCCGACTCTGTGATTACTGCCCGCCTGCTCGACACACGCTGGGACACAATCCCACACAATAAGATCAAAGTCTTGTTTTTGTTTCTTGCTCAGGGTGATGATAAAAATAGTGTTTCTGAGTCTGAGATGAAAACGCTAGCTTGTTTGTTTTAGTTGAGCAGGTAGACAGGTAGTGTGTGGCGTCACAGACATGCTCTTTGAAGCAGACATATTCAGTCCAAGAAGTTTAACTGTGTTACAAAAATGATGCTATCTGTAAGACCTAATAAAGCGGGAACGATGCGGCACTTGACAGTTCTGATCTCCACACAGCAATGTTTCCTTCATACTCAAACGAGGTCACGATTAATAAATCCACCATGTTGTTGACACACCTGCACGTTAACTGAGACACAACCTCTGAATTTATTGTTCATAACTACAAATGACAGATTCATGAACGCATTAAAAATGACACAAACATGGACCGACTCGCTGCTGCAAAATTCATTTACAATGTGCAGGTGCCACCATGAGCACCTATACGGCTCCCTGTCCCGTACCTCCACGTCTTGACTGAAGTCCAGAGCGTCTTCTCCTGCTCCCAGCAGCGTGTGCAGCACTCTCTGCTTCACCTGCTCCCACTGAACCAGCATCGACTCCCGATGGTACTCTTCAGCCAGCAGGAACGTCTGAACAAACGGCGATGGGAAGCAAGCCTCCAGTCATATTCGAGCGTGCAGACTGAGACAGTTTAACCTTTAATATCGTTTTGGTGCTGCTGGTTTGAGATCTCAGTGCTTTTGTGGGAAAAACACAGTTCACTGGGATCAAGCTGTGTTACAGATGCTAAACAGGGGATTGTCCTTAACATGGTCATCTCTGCCCCAAGCACCAGGTACTCAAACCCTCCCGTTTGTGAGTGGTAGCAAATCACAAATAAGTTGGCTTAAAGTCAAGATGACCTTAAAGTTGAAGGAGCTAAAACAATGCATTTGCCAGGCAGGATGAGCGGAGGGGTCTGCACTGAGCTCCATCATACAAAAAATAAGAAGCGCTAGAAACGAGCAAAATAATTTGTCCTTGTAGTACAAGTACGTTAATCCACATCCACGAGGTAAGACGAACATCGCACACACTAAACTGGATTTAACAGCAGACCCCTGTGAAGACGAGTCCACCAGGACTCGGTGGCGTCTATTTTAACCCTCCACAGAGACTTCAAAGTGAGATAATGGGAACTCGAGATAATTGAATCTCCAGCTTAGGGAGATGCAAATCTAGACTAAAGCCACCATTTACTGGGTTAACTTGGTCAAAGCTTTAAACAATTTAAAAACAGCATTAAGTCTAAAAAGATATTAAAATTGTATTTAAATCGTAAGTATAAACGTTCCTGGTCAGCAACACATCGCAGTAATTTAACAATTTAAAAAAGCAGTTTCATGTTATACATGTATTACGTTCTGTTATCGGCTTTTTCCTGCCCAAATACCTTTTTGGTTTTAGAAACACACAGCATGCAGCAGCTCCAGTGGTTACTGTAACATGCCTGCCTGCCCTGCTCTTCATGTTGATGTCAAAACTAAAGCTACGAGATAAAAATCTGCAGGAACATCTAACACCCGCGTTCTTTTTAATCTTCAGTGCATTTGTTTTTCCCCACCCTTGCACATAAGTCCCTTTCCTCTCTCGGGGAGCGGAGACAGATAATGGGAACGGCAGCTAATTAAACGCGGGGCCTATTAGCTCTGCACATCAGGGAAGCCATTTCAGAACCATTCCCCAAAGGTTCACACCAGAAGGACTTTTAGATCACAGCGAGCAGAAATGACTAAAAATGTCGTTTTTAAGTGTTCGGTATTGTGATGTGCTGATGCTACGAGACAGTGAAACGAATGCTTTGGTAAACCTCGGTATATGACAAACAAACACACACGGTGTCTGTGACTGTTGGGACTAATTATGTCATCTTCTTTTTTAATCATCTAAAGAATAAAAAGTATAATCGCACTCGGCCCTGCAGGCCTGCGCTACTCTAACAGTGCCTGTGAACTAGTTTCCTACACTGCAGGACTAAAGACTGCGAGGCCACGAGACTCTGGACAGATACCGACCCTGCGGCGAGACTCCTCGATGGCGGACAGGAGGGCGTTGTCCCTCTCGTTCTTCAGGAAGCCCTGCGGACACACAGACAGATGTGGGGAGAAGAGGAGTCACGGTGATGAACACACTGTGCATCATGTTCCTGTTGGCTTTGGCTTACATTAACACGTTTCTCAATGCAAAGGTGCACTTCTACCATGTGCAGGTAAGTACTGCCGCTAACCTTGAGTTATTCTGCTTTTTTAGGTTTATATAACTGCAAGTCGTGCAGCCCTGCCATAATAGCTTCTTAGACTGGAGGAAGGTTGTTCCCTTTGTCAGATAACAGAATAATCATTTACTGGTGACATTGTCTGACTTTAAATCTGAAGCAAGCAGGATAATTCAGCCTCAAACCCCCAAAAGCAAGCAGTTGATCAGAGACAGCTAGTTTCCAAAGCCAAGGACGGTTTATTCAGCTCTTAAGAAGCTGAATTCGCTCCTGTCCTCTCATGTGCGTCTATGTCCAAATGCTTAGCTCAGTCCAATTTCTACCTCTTCCTTTTACAAGCTCACACACATCACCTCTGCCTGACGCTAAATGGGCAATTTGCATGAACACCTTTCTGAAGAACTGTCAATAACAAAATACCATCAAGTAACTCACAACTAAGGTACAGCAGGCTTACCACAGGTTACCGATCCTAACTGGATCAGTCAAAGAAAGTGATTATTGGATTTTACGTGCTGATTTTTGCTGACCACTCTGTGGGTGAGCCTTTTTACCAGTGAGAATAAAAACAGACACATAAAATGTTCAGTAGGTTTATTATGAAGAAAAAATGAGCCCTATATAATCGTATAGTTGTACTTCCTGTAATACTGCAGCCTTCTTGGACACGCACACAGAACTTTATCTCTTTTGGCTTTTTCACGGTGTGGCGTTGGTTCTGCGATGAGCCCACCGACAGTTTAGCAGACTGACGTCTACGTGCTGCTGCCGTTTACCGTCACCAGGGGGCAGTGTCCCACGCAACCCGCAGACACGAGAGAAGTTATAACAGAAAGAGCAGAGAAATGTTCGCTGCTCTTTTCATGCCGATGTTTGAAAATATTTTCTTTACGCTTTTTCACACTTCTCCCGTTTATGTACGACCTCACTTTTCAACCAATCACAGTTGAACCTGTGTGTGATTTGCGGCCTGTCCACAAAACATGTCTGCGTGGGTTGTATAAGCCTCTTCGTGTAACACAGGCAAACACCTACACGCACCAACAGAACGTGCTACTATAAATCCATGTAGATGCACTCTTAGATAAAGCAAGAAATTTGAAAAAGTTGAAATATTCATTTTCACTATTTAGCTCCGTAGATTTATGACAGTATTTCAACTCTGTTGGCTCTTTGGGTCTAAACATTAGGAAAATGTCTTTTCAAGAGTAAGTTACAGCTTAGCTAATGCATGATGAAAATGTGCAGAACGCTAAATTTGACTATGAATAGCACAACCTGCCATCACAGACATGTCAGTAACTGATTATCAGTATTTGTATTTCTCCATGTTAATTATTTCTGGGCTTGCAAACACTAAACATCTGACAGTACATGTGGAGCAGTATTGATATCTTTTGGGTTTTATTTCGCTTCAGGCACTCTACAGTCTGTCAAACAACATCTTTATAACTAGCATATTTTCCATCTTGGAAACAGCTGAAACTACTTATATTGTGACATCTTCAAAGCTGCAGAAGAAGAGTTCCCGTCACAAAAGATGATGTCAAGATCCAAAAAAAGTCTATGCAGAGGTCGGTCAGAAAATAGGACAGAAACGTTTCCTGCTGCAGTCGCTGCAGGTGTTTGAGTTTACGTGGAAAATAAACAGTGGCTAATCTGGTTTTGTGCTACAGTTGACTTTTAGAGACGTTGTCGTGTTAAACCGTAATGAATCGCATCTCCTCTAAAACGGGTCAGTACCGCGTCACTGAGTTTAAGGCACAGCATTCATTCAGGTCAGTGTAAAGTGACAGAGAAAGACATCATTTACTTCCTCGTATTACTGTGTGAAAATCTAATTATCTATGACAGACTATCCACTGCAAATTAAAGACTTGAAAAACTGGTGTTTGCACGGCTGACAGCCAAGTTAAAGGTAAACTTAGTGAACACCATTACTCTGGTAATTAAGAAAGAAAAGAAGCGACTCCAACGTAGCCCGTTTATAGCAGCAGCTCATCCCTGCTACCCTTAGCTTCCCTTTCCTGCTCTGTCCCTCTCTCGTTTTTTCCCCGTCTCACTTTCCCAGGAGAGGCTGACAATAGGTCTATATTTAACCACTCAAACCAAAGAAGAGCTCAGGTCAACACTCGCAGGAGAGCTGCACTGGAAAAATGAAGAGAACAGAATGAAACGTTCACAGATCAGAGGCTGATTGCGATGACTCCAAGTGTTCTTGTAAATTGGAGAAAAGGCGATGAGACTGACGATCCTTACAGAAACAGGCAGGGGGCGGGGCTTAAAGCATCTAAAACTACGGCGGTACATTGGGCACCGAGGGGGAACTGCCTCGTCATTTTTCCTTCAGCAGGTGGCAAACATCTGTGACTGATGTCATTATCAGTGCTGCCAACCACTTGCCTATACGTTACTTTTTGTGCCAAGTGTAAATTGATGAGTTAGCCAAAAGCTGAGGCCAACAATCCCATTTATCTGACATGCAAATGATTTCTGTCTTTTTGGCTTTGGTTGATAAATCACTAAATCAAATATGAATATTACAGCAGTTAGATATCTGATAAAAAGGACTGCTGGTAGCTGGATACACTGTTTCCCTCTTCACCACAGGGGGTGGCCAGTTTCACGTAACTGCTCCTTAAAATGTTTGAAGCTTCATCGCAGGCAGGCACAGCATCGCTGTCGCATATAACCTCTTTATAATTTTGATCAGCACTACACCTGGCACGTTGTTCAGACCCAGACACCGGCATTTCGCGCTGACTAATCGCTGCCAATGTTTTAATTCCTCCTCGTATTTGTTCCCAAACGATAAAAATAACCATGAAATAGAGAAACGCATTTAAAAAAGCAACGCTGAAGCGTTTAGAAGTAAGAAAGATGAAAAAACACATTTTAATAAATGTGCTTATCACACTCGATGATGCACTGAGCACTGGGGTATCGGTGTATCAAAGATGCACGTTTCTTTTGCCCCACCCCTGTATTGTGTATCCTCAGAGATCTGCAACCTGCTGTGAACACCCACAGCCTGCTGGCCAGACAGCCCAGAAGCTTCTACAGGAAGAGGAGCACTGCCACCGAAAATTATTTGATCATGGTTGATAAATCAGGAAATACTGATGGGGGTGGGAAGGAAGGTAAAGGCGAGGACAAGTCGGCCTTCAAATATAAATACAAATGATCCAAGTTCCATTCTTTGTCTCCAAATTCATCGACAGTATGGAGATAATGTGAAAGCTCGGTGCACATTTGACTCTAAAAATATTCTATACGCCAAAATGAAACATGACTAAATTTTAGCATACAGTATAAATGTGATATTTAAAAAGGTTTCTCTTCAAACTTGTACGCATGCTAAATCTCTGTGCTGGCATACAGGCCCCCGTCTCCACTGCTAATGACAGTCACGCCATCTACGCATAAAGGTAATCTTATTTTATACTCATTCAAATCAGAACATCTGAATTTTCACCCTTTTGAGCCAGCTTCATGCTTATGACACTATACGAAAAATATTAAGATACCGAGTCTACGCAGAAACGTGTGATTTCCAGGAATCTAGAGGTTACAGAAGGGCACGTTCAACGAGCTGACGGGGAAAAGCCTCACTGTGGAAGTCATCATGAACCAAAGCAAAAACATTTACCATGACAGAATGAACCGACCACTGCCTGAGTGTGTGTGTGTGTGTGTGTGTGTGTGTGTGTGTGTGTGTGTGTGTGTGTGTGTGAGAGAGAAACCCCACCCTTTCACTCTTTCACTTCCTGTGTGGTGAAATAGAAATAAAGAAAATGAATAACATACATTTATAACATGTAAGTATAAATGATCAGAGTGCCTCACATTCACAAATGACTCAATCATCTCCATCATCATGTATGTCCGCACACACTGTAGCACAGCAGAGAAGACATGACAAAAAGTAAGACGCACAAAGCACATACCCATCAGTGACTGAGTACATGTATATGTGTGTGTATCCGTGTATGTATATGCAATACTCACTCATGAGGAGAGCCTGTCTGCCTGTCTGGCAGACAGACGAGAGGGCAGGATGAGACAAGGAAAAGTAAAAAACTGGTTTTCAGTTCTTTGTCTGAGCCTAGGTACGTGGGCTCTGACAGCCCAGGACATTTGCATCGTCTCTTCGCCTCTCCATCCCACCGTGTCACTGTGCCAGGGCAGCAGCAGCGGCCGCCATGCTGGGGCGTGTTCCCTGTGCCCCGTCGAGCCGGCATGGCGGTCCGCTCGCAGCCTTTTCCCCGTTCAAAGCAGGCCAGTGACTCTGGTGCGTGAGCCGGAGAATCGAGTGAAAGTGCCACATCAAGACTCGCTGGAGGTTGTTTTATTGTCGGAGGGCTGTACCAACTGAGCGCTCAGACACAGGGGGAACCCGCGAGAAAGAACTATGGATTCATATAGAATATCAGTTCCTGCCATCAGCTGACACCCCCCCAAACAGCCATTCTCCATCCTCTGTCTCTCTCTCCATCTCTCACTTCGTCCTAGCATCTCTGACGGCCCTCCCTCAGTCCCACTCATTTTCTTCTTTTTTAATCCATCTATGCATCCTTCTTTTCTTCCCTCCTTCTCTCCTCCCTCCTTCAGCTCAATGCAATTATAGTAATGGATTTTTTCCCCCTCGGTTGATGGCTTCCGACATCCTGTCTCGAAATGAGGCTAATCATGCTCTTAAGGGTCATGTTTAGTTAATGAAGGGTTTGGGAGGCACATGGGGAGAAAGGGGATGGGTTGGTGGGTGCGTGGGGGGTATTCCTATATGCAGTCTGTCTATTATAGTGCACACGTGCACACACAAACAGCTTCAGGCATGTTAATCCATGTACTTCCTGAAGTTTTGTGCACATAGTCTCTCTCTCACACACACACGCACACACACGACTGGATTCATGTGTGCAGGCAAGCAGACAGGGATGCACGCAACCACGTGCAGACAAATCTATGCTACACATTCATTCATAAATACACGGTTCAGACACCGTATACAGCAGCGATCGATAGCGCCTGACACACAGGCATGCAATCTCAGCACACGAGGCTTGTGCACGAGAGACACACACATCGTGTGAAGCTATGTCAGGAGCGTTCGTGTATCTCAGCAGATGCTCTGGGCTTAGCCAACTGCGTCCGCTGAACGCATGCCATCACTGCTGAGGGATATGTGTGTGTTTAAGGGCTGGGGAGGGCAGAAGAACAGGAGAGGAAGAGAAAGGATGTAAATGGGAGAAGGATAAAAAGCAGAAAAATGTGAAAATATGTAATTTAAGAGAGAAAGGGAAAAAATGAAAGCAGAGAAGCACGCAGAAAGAGTGCGATGTACGAAAAAGGAGAAAGAGAGCATTGGCAGAGAAAGATGGAACAGTGAAAAGTGAGACAAGGACAGGGAGACGGAAAAATATTGAAGCCGGTCGCCATTTTTCTACCCGCTCTGCTCTCTGCCTTTCACTTCTACAGTTTCATTTTTCTGCTCTTTTCATGTGATCTCTTCTCTTTCTCTGCTTTGCTTTGATTTTGAATCCTTTCCTGTTAATCCTTTGTAAGCACTGATGGGAACACAGGAAACAAAAACATGTAAGCAGACTGCACTCTGATAAAGACCCTAAACATGAGATGTAAATATATTCACGTTTGGAACAGACTCAGCCTCATCTAACCAACCACATAATCTTACTAAATATGAAGTTGTCCATAGTATGTGCAATCTAAAAACATGCTAATTCCTGCTAGCAGCTCTGACGTCCACGAAGCCCAAAATCTAAGACGAGCTATACGGCCACAACCTATAGGAGCGCTTCAGCATATATACAGGCGCATCATTCACACACCACTGCCCTCTACATGCACGCGTGTGTGAGCCGCAGAGGCATGTACCAGCTCACTCATGCGCAAACACACACATTTACACACACACACACACACACTCATAAAAACACAGCACATTTTCCATTTCCTTTGTGTCCCGTCTATCCTGGAGAACTGCAGCCTCTACTGCCTCGCACCCCTTAAACCAAATTAAACACAATCTGACACACTGAGGTCGGGTTGGTTGAGGAGCGAGGATGCACGAGGCACACGTTACAGGTCCTTGGTTACATTTGGATACATTCTTGGATTTCAGGGTTGCCATGGGTGCACATGCATGTGTGAGTCAGCAACGGTAACGGGGAAAATGTAAAGCGTAGATTTAAATTGAAAGTTAAACTGATGATGAAAAGTTGGCTGATGAATAAACTCATTGACAGACTGCAGATGAAACACAACAATATGTGATTGTAAAAACGGAGACTCTGTCCATGTGCAGCGATAATATCTGGGGTGTTAGTTAAATATAGACAGGCTACATCCTTTGTGTGGTTACAGGAATGCATCTGTACGAACAATAACTTCTGCAAATAGTCTGCTGTGAGACTGTGACAAAGAAAAAGTCTAATATAAAGTGTATCGTGACAGGAAAGGAAGCAACAAGATCAAAGTTTTAGTAACAGTAAACTAAAGCTAAACTTCACTAATTAATATTAATCAAAGCTAATTAAAAAATAACAAAAATGTGCACTGATTTTGGGGATGCTTCCATTTGTGTAACTCCAGCTGTGTAATTATAGAATAAACCATTTATTTCTTTTCAGTAGACATTATTTCCACCTTTCTTTCAAAAGTAACTAAGATTTGAGCGACTACATCAGTGCATTTGAGCATAAATTGCAGGTCAAATGTAGAGTCTGTGTGTTAAGAATACTCTGGAAAGGCTGTTTGCTTTCAGCTGTTCAACAAAGTACATCAAACAGCTTCTTGGTGATGCCTTCTTCATTATCATCGTCATCATGATCAAATAACCTCTCTGCTCCTTTGTGTATACTTGATGATATAAAGTGGCTGAGACTGCCATCAGTTAAATGGAGGGGAAAAAAAGCTGAGCTCAGTTCTTCTTTTCAATGGTTCAAATTTAAACTACATTTCTTCGTTGTTTCCTTATTCTGGCTGAAATTCTGCTTCATTTTTTGGCACACTGTCATGGAGCCAAACACACACAATTAGTCACAATTTGCAATTAAATTCAAACTGTGTGTATGTGACGTTATGATCTTAATTAAAAGAGAATTTCCCATGGGGGAGCAGACAGCTTTCTAAATGACTACTCACCTTGGTCTGGCTAGATTAGCTTAAACTGCTGTAAAGCAACTAAAAAGGCTAAAACATAAATCTTTTTGATGCTGCTAAAGACTAGATTTACCTTTAGTTTGGGGGACGGTAGAGTAGAGCATCACAACATTACGATTTAGGACCAAAGTAAACAACTATTTTTGGCAAAGGCTCACTGCGCCACTAAACAGAGACTTAATGGAGATGGTGAAGACTTTGTTTAAGCTCCATTATGCAGTTAGCCTGGCTGTCCAGAAATCATCCTATATTGTGCTTATAGATTACACATATATATGAAAGACTACTGTGTGCAGTCTATGCATCCAACAATCTGACATCTGGAGTCCAATCCTGACTCAACAAGCTGATCTACGGAGCCGATCTTTTCAATTCTCTGCTGTTCTGGGTTTACCTCACAATGCCTCAGCAGCAGAGCTCCAGAGGAGGAATACAGCTTATTAGTTTAACACTGGTATCAGATAACTACTTGGCATCAGCAGATACCCACAGCAGCATCAGTATCATATGAAAAACTGTACAGTGCACTCCATTAATTTTCCATTTTTGATCATAATTATTTATACTGAATATGCTCAGCGCAGGGCCCATTAGGTAAATGCCAATACAACACTACTATCTCAGCTGACTTTCCATTTATCTGACCAATTCCTGTAATGTGGCTGTTTAAACTGAGCAGCTGTTTGTCTGAAACAGCAGTGGAAAATTTCTCCTGAAATAAAACGTAATGCAATGTCATCTTCTAGACCCAGAAGAGCAATCGCAGGGAGGCAGAGTGCTCGTGTGTGTGTGTGTGTGCGTTCACCCTCACACTGCCAGAAGCTAAGTGCTTTTCCAGTCAGTGAGTGAAACCCACCCTGGCCAGGATACATCTGGCCGACCAATAAGAATAAAGAAGATTTCAATGAAACAGAGAAGAGGCTGGACTGCAACAGTGGAAGAAAAAAAACACAGAGATAAGAAAGGAGGGTGATAGAGTGGTGGCACATGTATGTGGAAACCTGATGGAGAGAACAGATACAGTGGAGAGAAATAAGTAACCAATACAGGAGGATTAAGCAGGGTGGGAATAAGGGACGGAGAGAGCACTCAGGGAGCAAAAAGTCTGGTACTCAACATTAAAAGAATACTGGGCAACTTTGATATTGCACTTTCAGACTTCTAACAGAACCTTTGTTTTACATTTAAACCTTCTGTCTCCAATACCGTCAAAACAGTTCAAGATTCACGTGTACCACAGGAGCAAACGCAGCTTTGAGCCTCCAGCCTAAAACAAAGGACAGAAGCGCACGATAAGCTCACTTTGTTCTACCTCCCTGCACCACAGTTTCTCCATAACTTGCATAATCTTCAGATCTAACCAACTTCTACTAGAGCAGCATGGCCTCTGGCAATCCATCAGACGTCTTCACGCTCAAACCTGCCAAACTACAAGACAGTTTCACACACATAACACAACTACCTCCTCACGCCTGACTAAATGCGACAACATGCCAACCATGTATCCATCACAAATGCTATTAATTCTGTTCAGCTCTACAATCGTGTACACACACTCAGTCACAGCACAACCTCCAGAGCCACATCTATACATTATGTGACATGCACTGCTTTTACATGGGTGAAAGCTTTTTTAATTCAGTGCAACTCCACAGATGTAGTTTAGTGTGACTGATGATACATGTCATCATATAGTAAAGTACAGTCTAATGAATGTGCAGAAAGAAAATATGATCAAAACTCAAAGTTAAAGAGAATAAACAGCACAATGTGACCTTGAAACCAATGAGATTTTCCATGAAAGTCATTTTTCTTGACTGTCCACAAAAACAGAGCCTGTGGGTCACACAGCAAACCCAATTTTCCACTGGAATAATTAACTCGTTGGCTTTGTGTACTTATTTCTGTTATCTCTTAAATCTTTGTTCTCTTCAGCCTCCAGTTATAAATTTCAACATTTTCAGCCTTTAACTAACAAACTTCACACTTGCTCAGTTTTTATCAGGCTTATCTTGTCAGTGGGGACAAAATGCAGACTTATTATCTACAGTTAATTACTTTCAGACCTTAGCCACAAAACAAATTTAATCCTCACTTCTAAATGCAGTGAAATATGCACATGCTTATTAAAAGACTAGGTACTAGTTTCTTACCATCTGTCAATGGAATATTTCTTATTTCACTCCACAAAATACCTCTCAGTGCTCTCAGTAGTAAGCGAGTCTTCCTCTAGTGAACCAGTTCATTTAGGTTAAAAACACTGCATTAGCAGCTAGCTAGCAGCTAGTTTATGGTACCTGTAGGTAGGGCTGCTCGATTATGGCAAAAATGATAATCACAACTATTTTCACTGAAATCGAGATCTCGATTATTTGACGATATTTATTTAACAATAACAATGTGTTGAATAATGACTTTAAAAAATAATATAAAATAATGCAAATACTGATAACAGTGCAAATGTTTGCAGTATAAGAAATAAATGAAAAATGTAAATAGGGCTGAACAATTATGGAAAATAATCTAATTGCGATTTTTTGCCCCAATATTGCGATTGCGATGCGATATGCGATTATTTTTTAAGGTCTTTGTCTTCTGTATTATTAAACAAAGACAAGCAATACATCATATAGTATGGCCAATACTATATTACATTAATTTTAAACTGTTCTTTCCTGGAAGACAGACCTCTGTTATGATGACATGAGGTGATGCATGAATTGATGACTGACATTTTTATTTAACTTCTTCAATCACAACAGTATATTTGAACATACACAATAGTTTATTTTTAGCTTACAAACATCTGAGCATAAAGTGCTGACAAGGAACCCTGGTGTAAACATTAAAATGAAAGTCAGTACAATGTGCAGATTGCAGAAATATACATAAAAAAAATCAGTGGCTTTACCACACTCAGTTTTTCGACATCTGTGAACTACTAGACAGTCATTCAATTAAAAAATAATATTAAATAAATAAAACTAATAAATAAAAAATACACACATCTTACTGATCTCTGCAGTCAGTAACATTACACATAAAGTGCAAACATAATAGCAATTGTA